GGGGGGGGGGAGTTTTTTTGAGAAAATACACACAAAACTGTCCAGACATGATGACAAGTTTGAAGAATGAATGGTTAACCTGATTTCTTCTTCTTCTTCGGTGTACTTGCCTCCTCGTGAACCCAGAACTCACGTCGCAAATCATCTCCGCTAATATCTCTCTTCCTTAAGTTTCATGTGTTTAAAACAAAAAATAGAGATATTTTTTCCATAATATATAAAACTCAGCGATAGCGGTTGAACGAGCGGTTGAACCGCTCAACCGTTCAAAGAATTTATCATTGAAATTTGTATCTAATATGAAATCATATATTGTAGAAGCATATATATTCTGACCGAAAAAAGGTGTGCCAAATTGTCCAATAAGACCGAAGTTAGTGAGGAGCACTTTAAAGTCTTGAAATCCTGATATCCCAGGTTTTCAAAAAAACACAAAATTAGCGTGGTCTAGGTAATATACTAAAGGTTGCTAAGTCTAAAGGATAAGCCGAGCTGAGTCTCAATAATTTTCATAGCTGTAAAAATTTCAATTGTGTAATTTTAATTCTTAAAATAAAAAATATCCAACCTTAGATATTTAATAATGGTTTTCCCAGTTTTCTTCCAGTTCTTCAGCGCGCCTTTCCTCTGAGCCGCGCGCGTTTTGTCTTTAGCTTTTATTACCATCACACCCCTCTCCGTCGGACCTAATTATATCAGGATCATTAGTAATTTTAATTCAATCCTAAAAATAAACATATATTTGAAAAATAACTTCAACCCAAAACATCAAATCAAGAAGGAACCTGAACCTGAACCAAAAAAAATCCAAGAACACTAACTCCAAAAAGTACCTGAATCTGAACCCATATAGTGGGCCAACCAATTAAAACAACCTACTCTGGTTAGGCGGGTCCAAACTCCATAGTAAATTGTGATATTTTATTTGTATTATCTCGTGCTTTGTGGTTGAATAAAATATGAAATGAAAATGAAACCTGAGCGAACTGTGACAAAACCAAAACCTGAAATATAAACCTTGAACTGTACCCGAACCTGAACCTGAACCTGAACCTGAAACTGAACCTGAACCTGAACCTGAACATGAACCAAAACCTAATTTTGAATCTGAACCTGAGCCTAAATCTGAAATTGAACCCAAACCTAAACCTCTAAAAACTGACCAAAACTTCAATTTGAAATGTTAACATCAACCTCAACCTCACCCTGAACCTGAACCTGAACCTGAACCTGAACCTGAACCTCAACCTCAACCTAACCTTGAATCTGAACCTAAACCTCAATCTCTAAAAACTTACCGAAATCTAAAAAACTGAATAAAACCATGAAAACTGAATAAAACCATGAACCTGAACCTGAACCTAAACCTGAACCTCTTAAAACTTACCAAAACCTAAACTTGAAATACGAACCTTATCCTGAACCTGAAACTGAACCATACCCAAGTTAACTTTGACTCTAAACCTGGCCCTAAATCTGAACCTGAACTTGTAAAAACTAACACAATCCTAAACCTGAACCTGAACTTGTAAAAACTAATACAATCCTAAACCTGAACCTCTAAAAGACTATCACGAAAGAAAAAAAAACTTACCAAGAGCAATTGAGTAAGATTCCAGGAACTCCTTTGCTTGCTCCTTAGTTACAGATCTTTCTAGAGACATTATTACCTGAACACAGAAAGGGTTCAACCTTAAATCGGCAAAGACAATGGTTTAACTAATTGAACTGATATAAAAAAGTAAAAATCGGATTTGCAAAATTGTTTTTACATATTGAAGTTTGTTAAGTGTCCCTCAAAGGACGGACAATGTCAATACGTTAGTTAGAACACGAACGGCCTCATGAGTGTTTCAAGAGATGGTTGAGGAGAAAGTAATTGGTATGACGACATTCTAGGGTCGTCTTGTCATGCTTTTTAATACTTTTAATCTATTCCGTTTCTAGTTTTTAAATAACTAGTCTTTTAGGGCGCTTCGCGCCCATCTTCTATTTAAATTGTGAACATGTTCTTTTTGTTTACATTTAAAAACAAAGAAGAAAAAATTTTTGCGGATTTTCAAGAATTAAAATTTTTTTAAAAAATAAAACCCTTTATAACACATTTTTATTTTATTTTTATCATTCATAAACCTTCCCTGTGGTCACGTGATGTCCCACAAAAAATTTGGGCCCGATCGGTTCAGCCGTTTTGACGTTTATTGGATACAAATAAACAGACAAACAGACAGACAAGCCAAATTTATATATAGATGTCATTTATATAATGATATTATATATGACTTTTATACATAATTTAAGCCAAAAATGGACTTAATAAAATCTTTTAAATACGTTTTCCGGAACAATAAATAATAACTAACAGAAGACGACATTCAGGTATTTCTGAACTATACAGGGTTACCCACAAAGAATGAGACTTCAGCGACGACTGTCTGTTTTTTATTTCCATGATTTCCTGCAACTTTAAACTTATTTTTTACTTTGCCAAATCATGGAATAAGCCATTGAAATACTATTAAGTTAAACTTAGGATCGATTTTAAAAGTTTCCGGTCGTCTTAGCAGTTTCATCTTTTGTGGGTAACCCTGTCTTTACCTTTGCCCAGGCTTTCAAGAACTCCTTCTCAGCCGACTCAATAACAATCCCGTAGGTATTCCCCATCATGGCGATCAACATGTTGAGGAGAAGGATTGGAATCAGGATCTGGAATAGAACAAAGACGATCTTCGCCATTTTAGGATAGGGAGTAGTTCCCAGCAGGGGATAATCATATTCGCCCAGGGTCATATGGAACATTCCTAAAATATACATATATCATAGTAGGGGAATTCATCTTAACATTTCCCCACTCTTTTTTAATATTTCTAAAAACGAATTCATTTGTTTAAACGTCATTTTTCTATAATTACTTAGATAACTCTAAAATTACATTGGCGGACAAAATAATGCCGCGTTACAGTGATATCAAGAAAACTCTGGCATAGGATTACGACTTTTAGACTCAAGGTTAAATAAACAGTACAATATACATGGGTTACAGGAATTGTGTAGTGTAAACAATCCCATTTTACTTAATTAGTGGTTTAATAAGTAACCAGTAAACTCTTTTACTGTGTAACAACATCCTGAGATTTCTAGTTATCACTGAAGTTAAAACAAAGACAAGGATGAGTCATACAAAAATGAGACTGTAAAGACGACCCAAAACTCTAAAAATATCACGATGGGAAGCTCGATTTTCGGTTTCTGCATTCACTTAAGTTTTTTGATGGTTTGCTAATTATAAAGCACAGAAATAAGCCCGTTTTGCCCAACAAGGAACCCTGAATGCAAGAATTCCGTACAATCGTCTCTGAAGTCGCATCCTTTGTGGTTAACCCTGTACATGAGGATTGGAGATTGATGCTAAAGATTAAAGAAATTTACCTATCCAAGTTGTGTGGTAATCTTCATATAGCTCTGCGTCTTCGTGATCTTTTATGATAAAGAAAAAAGCCTGACTGAAACCTAAAAAGTATTAAAATTAATGAAAAGTAAGAAATAAATCTCAAAAATTAGATTAATCGGAGTTTGAAATTTATTTTTGGTTTAACTAATTCTTTACCTTATTACCTAGGAGTATGATTACCTAGAAGTGTGATTACCTAGAAGTATTGTTACCTAGAATCATGATTACCTAAAAACATGATTACCTAGAAGCATGATTACCTAAAAACATAATTACCTAGAATCATGATTACCTAAAAACATGATTACCTAGAATCATGATTACCTAAAAACATAATTACCTAGAATCATGATTACCTAAAAACATGATTACCTAGAATCATGATTACCATTACCTAGAATCATGATTACCTAAAAACATGATTACCTAGAATTATGATTACCTAAAAACATAATTACTTAGAATCATGATTACCTAAAAACATGATTACCTAGTAGTATGATTATCTAGAAGTTTGATTACCTAGAAGCATGATTGAGTAGATGATTGAGAAAGTGAACATATCTCCAGTTATCATCTTGAATATCATTGTCACAAAAGGACCTGAAAAAATACCTTGTTAAAGTCGGAGAAAGATTAGGTTAAAGTTCAAACCTGTAACTCACGATTGGATCTAGAAAGGAGTTTGTAACCAGGAACCTGTAACCTTGAACCAGGAACCTGTAACCAGGAACCTGTAAACAGGAACCTGTAACCAGGAACCTGTAACCAGGAACCAGGAACCTGGAACCTATAATCAGTAACCTAGAACCAGAAACCTAGAACCAGGAACCTAGAACCAGGAACCTTTAACCAGGAACCTATATATAGAAAGGAACCTGTAACCATGAACCTGCAATCAGGAACATGTAACCTGGAACCAGAAACCTGGAACCAGGATCCTGGAACCATGTACCTGGAACCCGGAACCAGAATTCTGTAACCAGTATTCGCAGAAGAACATAAGATAAAACCATGAACCTGGAACCTGGATCTAGGAATGTTACCTGTAAGTTAAATTGCTCCGCAGAAGAACATAAGATAGAACCATGAACCTGGAACCTGGATCTAGAAATGTTACCTGTAAGTTAAAGGGCTCCACAGAAGAACATAAGATAGAACCATGAACCTGGAACCTGGAACTAGAAATGTTACCTGTAAGTTTAATTGCTCCACAGAAGAACATAAGATAGAACCATGAACTTGGAACCTGGATCTAAGAATGTTACCTGTAAGTTTAATTGCTCCGCAGAAGAACATAAGATAGAACCATGAACCTGGAACTCCAAATATTAAAAAAGCCTCCTCAACAATCCTTCAGAAAGTTCCAGTATTTTTAGTAAAAATGTTTTTTATACCTTTCATTTGTTTACAGTGAATCCCGGATATATGAATACATAGACCGTCATAAGTTTTTTGATAATTGTAAAGAAACTTCTTTTATTTTTAATTCAAGGTAAATTAATAGCCATTAAATATGAATGCAATTGATATATTAATATTAAACTCATTTTTCCGCGGCATTTGATCTTAAATATGTAATACGACATTATAAAGAACTCTTGCTATGTATTCATATATCTGGGATTCACTGTAGTTAAAATAATTTTGATACTTTTTATTGTCACAGGTTTGCATAACATTATTATTAAATAAAGCCTTGTATTCTTTACATTTTGTATATATCAACATATTAATAAAAAAATTTTGGATTTCCTATATTTATCTTCATCTTTCCCAAACTGTAATAATCTAGATGATAAAACTTTTATTAATTACATTTAATAATTTATATCAATGTGCTCAGGAATTTAAATAAATATGACATTTGATTATTGATAATGTACTCAGAAATATAAATCAATCTTACATTCAATAATTAATAATATACTCAGAAATATAAATCAATCTTACATTTGATTATTGATAATATGCTCAGGAATGTAAATATATCTTGCATTCAATAATTGATAATGTACTCAGAAATATATATAAATCTTACATTTGATTATTGATAATATGCTCAGGAATATAAATAAATCTTTCATTTAATAAATAATAATATACTCAGAAATATGAATAAATCTTACATTCAATAATTGATAATGCACTCAGGAATGTAAATAAATCTTACATTTGATTATTGATAATGTACTCAGGAATATAAATCAATCTTACATTCAATAATTGATATTGTACTCAGGAATGAAAATCAATCTTACATTCAATAATTGATAATGTACTCAGGATTGTAAATATATCTTACATTCAATAACTAATAATATACTAAGAAATATAAATAAATTTTACTTTCAATAATTAATATGCTCAGGAATGTAAATATATCTTACATTCAATAATTAATAATATACTCAGAAATGTGAATAAATCTTACATTAAATAATTGATAATGTACTCAGGAATGTAAATAAATCTTTCATTTAATAATTGTTAATGTACTCAAAAATGTGAATAAATCTTACATTCACTAGTTGATAATGTACTTAGAAATGTAAATAAATCTTAAATTCACCAGTTGATAATGTACTTAGGAATGTAAATAAATCTTAAATTCACTAATTGATAATGTACTCAGGATTATAAATATATCTTACATTTAATAACTAATAATATACTAAGAAATATAAATAAATCTTACATTCAATAATTAATATGCTCAGGAATGTAAATATATCTTACATTCAATAATTAATAATATACTCAAAAATATTGAATAATTGATAATGTACTCAGGAATGTAAAAAAATCTTACATTTAATAATTGATAACGTACTTAGGAATGTAAATAAATCTTACATTCACTAATTGATAATGTACTTAGGAATGTAAATAAATCTTACATTCACTAATTGATAATGTAGTTCGGAATGTAAATAAATCTTACATTCACTAATTGATAATGTACTTAGGAATGTAAATAAATCTTACATTCAATAATTGATAATGTACTTAGGAATGTAAATAAATCTCAGCCTCATGAGGTTCGATATTTCTTACATTCCTCACAAAAAATACAGTGCATTAAAAACAAAGATTCTTGTATATCTCTCTTAGTCGATATCTATAATTTTTGCCTAATATTGATTGAATCAGCTTGCACCAAGTACCTGGCCGGTATACAGCCCAGAATAAGGAAATTAGAAACGACGTAAAGAAGTTTCGGTGGAGCTGATTTCAGGTTCCTCCAGCATACATCAGCACCAGCATTCTCATCCATCATCCATCATCCATCATCCATCATCCATCATCCATCATCCATCATCCATCAACCATCATCCATCAACCATCATCCATCATTCATCATTCATTATTCATCATCCATCATCCACCATCCACCATCCACCATCCATCATCCATCTTCCATCATCCACCATCCATCATCCATCATCCATCATCCATCATCCATCATCCATCATCCATCATCATTATATTTGTAATTAATGTTATTCATATTATTATTATTATTATCTTTATTATTATAGTTAATGTTATTCATATTATTATTATTATCTAAATATTATTGTAATTAATGTTATTCATATTATTATTATTATTATCTAAATATTATTGTAATTAATGTTATTTATATTATTATTATTATTATCTTTATTATTATAATTAATGTTATTAATATTATTATTATTTTTATCATCATTATTATCATTATTATGCATTGTTATCATTCTCGTTCTATTTTGTAATCTTTAACCTTTATTTCTCCTCCAAGTTGAAATAACATAAATCCAACACAGCCCAGGAGGGTTGCAATCTCAAAGCAATATCTGAATATTATAAAAAAATGCAAAAACCAAAAATTGAAATAGTTAAAATAATTTCGAAAAGCACAAAGTAGAATTAAGAGAGAACAAACCAACTATTTTGCTCTTTTGAAAAGTTGAAGTTTTAACCTGCTTATTTCTTCAGCGCCCGGGTCATCAGTTCCTGACTTAAGTCCTTTCAGGAGACTTTCAGAGAATGTTGGTCTAAATGTTTATACTTTAGTTCTTAGTTTTAAGAGACTTTCGGATAAAGTTGGTCTAAATATTAAGAGATCCATTTAGAAGACTTTCTAAAAAAGTTGGTCTAAATATAAAGACTTTTTTCTATTTTAGATGACTTAAACTAAATATTAAAATAATATCTTCAAAATATAGATTTGTTTTTTTAGAAGACTTTCAGAGTAGGATGGTCTGACTATTCAGACTCTAGTACCTTCAGGAGACTTCCACAGGGGTTTGAGATAAATGTATATAGATTTAAGTAATTTTAGTAGACTTTCAGTTAACGTTGGTGACTTTTGAACTCATTGATAAAGTTAGTAATCTTTAGTTCTTTTAGAAAAGGCCTACTATGCAGTCCCAGAATTGCAGCTGGGGAAGCGCTGTGTTTAATTACGCATCTAGTATCCTACAGGGGAAGCTAGAAGCATAGATTAAAACAAAACTTCATCTTCAGCTTTATGCACTGAAAGAGGAGTTTAACCCCTTGTGGGGAAACAAGGGGGAGAGAGGGGGAGAGTAACCTTGCCACTCTCAATATATAGAATATTGTTGACGGAAAACAGCAACACGTTAGACAAATCAGGATAATAGGCCGGTTAGGATTCTGGTGGGGGATGTTTATTATCCCCAGACAATTCTTTCCCGATAGGCCGCACAAATACACACACAACAGAGTAACCCCGTCTCAGAAATTCGATAACAAAATCTTTATTTCCTAAAAAATAACATAAATTATAGGTCATGTTTACTTGTACAATGTTATAATGAATGTTAATAGTAGAAAAAATCTTACGAATTATTTAAGGATAGTCGGGGTGACTTATTTGTTGATCAGTATTGAAATACGTTTTTTAACTTCTGAAAAATTACAGTTGAATATTTAACGAAATTCACTAATGCTTCTTATGAAAATATTTTGCTTAACTTTAATGATTTTACAATTACGAAAATATTTTAAGCTCCGTCGGAGGAGGACAAGGGAATTGCGGGCTGAAAATTTGGTTTGGCTGTCTCCGACAGGAGATTCAAGTTGAAGACGACATTTTATAGAGGTTTTAAAATTAATGGTTAACAAATATAGATACAGGGCTTCTAAAAATAGTTCTGCCTCTGCAATTTGGCTAGCTGCAGAAAACATACAAAAAATTCATTTAGTTTTATTTTCAAAATCAGCCAAAGTGTGATTGAAGGATGGACAAGGAATGGAAGATCAAGAAGAAAGAATGAAAAACAAGAAATATAGAAGTCTTAAAATGTTTTCATCTGATATCATATTGAAATTTAAAAATATTGTAAAATTTAATTAAAATAAATTATTAAAGTTAAAAAAGTTCTTTTAGAAGACTTTCAGTTTCAGCGGTGTCATAATTGTCTAGTATATTGTTTTTGAAGTTTTGAGAGTAAAACTAGAATTGCAACTTTTTTATCTTTCTACTAAAAATGTATTCTTTAATCCTAGTGTGCTGAGTGTTACCTGAGATAAACAGCGCATGATAATGTTGTTAAATGAAGAATAAGAAGAAAAAGTCTCTTCATAAAAAATGCCTGTGCATATGTACTCCACTTCTCATCGAGTAGTTTAGCAATTATTCCCCCCTCCAACATATTCAGATGTTCCTCCTTAAATCATATCGAGTAGTTATCAGAATTAACAATTATGAAAAACTATTTTCAATTTAATAATTAAATACCTTGGTTCCCGCCAAAATGAGCATCATGGCGGATCCCCAGTTTGTTGACCCATCAGAGGATATAGAATCCAAAGCACCTTAAACACATTCTAAACGTTATATACATAACTCCCATACCCGGTTTACACAAAAAAGACAACTCACAGTGATATAAAGGTTGTGAGCAGTTCCTAAAAACTCGATGAAAAACTAAAGCTAAATAAAACAAGCGCTCTATAAATAGTTGTAAAATGTATATGAAAATGTATATTAAAATGTATATGAAAATGTATATGAAAATGTATATGAAAATGTATATGAAAATGTATATGAAAATAAAATGTATATGAAAATGTATATGAAAATGTATATGAAAATGTATATGAAAATGTATATGAAAATTAATGAAACTTTTCCAAGTTGACTGGATCTCTGTGAACTGTACCAAATGAATTAAGTCTTTGCCACAAATTTTGATTTTCTAATCCCACCCAGTATCTTTTAACCCAAATATATAAGGATTAGAAAAATTGAATTTGTGATTCTTTCAATCCTTTTTCTCACATTGACAGCTAAAGTTCCCTGCAGTTGAAAACTTGTCTGTTTTAATCGGTACAGTAAGTCTGTTTATTTTCATAAATATCAAATACACAGAAAATATGAAGGATGATGCACGAACAACAAAAAGAAAATGGAGATTTAGAAAAACAGAATTGTCAAAATACTTTCAGCTGATTTCAACTAGTTTATAGAATTTTGTTAAAATTCAAATAAAAAAAAATAAAAAAGATATGTTTAAAAAAGATCCACAGAAATGTTCAAAGCTCAGTTTTGTAGGGTTTTAGATTTCCGGTTAAAAGAAAAAATATCTTTTTAACTAATTTCACTTTTTAAAAAGCTAAAATATTCAACACTTTTAAGTACCCATCATTAAAAAACGTATAACTATTAAAGATTATGATTATCTTTTTCAATGCTTGCTGTATCATGTGTCACACTGCCTAATTACTCCCCACAAGTTTTATTTCTAATTAAAAATATTTTTAAATTATCTTTGACAAGCTTGAGACCTAGACCTAGACCTAGACCTAGACCGTTCCCAGGTTACTAACAGTCGACACCTACCGCGCGGGAAACTAAACTTTAAAGTCAACTCTCTAGCTCAACACTAAGCTAGGAACATTCCCGTGGTTCTCCCGAGTTCCCAAATCAAAACTGGAGGCAATTCTGTGAAGGGGTTCATGAGTTATGATCGTACATACCAACAACACACAGAAATTTATATATATATATTTATTACCCAATGGATATCCACAACATGTTATATTAGAATATCTCCAGAACTCTACACAGGACATCTCAAGCATTTCCTATTTAGCATAAAAACCATATAAAAATGTGTAAACCTGTTTTTGTTTACAAACTATAAAATAATAAACAAGTTTTTGGAGGCGGAAAAGTTAAGAATAAAACTTTATTTTTGTGAAACTATAAAATGTCTAAAAACAACTTTTTAATAGAAAAAAATAAATTTATGAAAAAAAAATCTGAGTTTAGTATTGTAAATTATTTTTTTAACTTTAAAATGAAAACTCTGTAAAGTACATAGGTTTATAATGAATACCTGAAAAATTGTGTCTCTACCAAGTTCACAAGACAAGGTGAGACTAGTAAGATTTCTATTATTTGCCACCATATGGTTTGCTTTCTTTACAGGGTGCTTCAGCGCATATCCAAACATACCCAACTGCTCTACTATAACGACCATATGAAGCACAGTGTTCCCGTAGGTATCCTGGAAATCAAATATCATAATTCATAGTAAACCTACAAATTAAATCTAAAAATCAAACCTCATATTACACCTAAAACTCGCCACTGCAGCCTACAACCTCTAATTTTTTAATGCTTATATTCTTGCAATCTGATAGTGTAAACTTTTAATATTTCAATCTTAAACTGTTGATCTATATGCTTATATGATATTAAAAGGTCTACGATATCAGTTTGTAAAGATATAGTAATAGGAAAATCATAGCTTGTAGTGGGTGTATGGTTAACCAGTGTCCGAATTTAATGAATTTAAGCCGAGTCTCAAATCCCCCAAAGCCCGGTTTCAATTGACCGCGGCTCAAAATCTTTAAATTCGGCCTCTTGATGATTAAACCTCACATTAAACCAAGAAGATAAACCTTTGAATTTTTTTATCTAAACCTAAATTTAAAAATTAAAATTAAACCTAGAAAGTGAACCTGGAGAATACATCTAGAGAAGTTTGTTTATTAATATTAATTTGTGCTCTTAAGCTTGGCTTAGAAGGTCAAGGAATGATGCAATTAATTATTTTTTTAAATATTCTCCTGCCGCTATTGATTTTTAAATTTCTCAAAGGTCACAATGAGTTTTAACAGTGAATGTATTTTTTTAAGTAAGCTACCATTGTCAATCAATTTGAACAAAAAAAGGAAGATAATTTCTGTCAAAAAATTCTTGTAAAGTAATTGCTAAAGTTGTGTTTTGTATAAGTTTACAGAATATTTGTAAGAAATCTGAATATCAGTGATGGTGAGTCAGAAAATGTTCAAGACTCTGTCCAATATTGGTTTAACTGAACACAGCCTAACAATATGAAATGAATTCAATGAAAATAATTAATTTTCAATAAAAATCAAAATATCTCATTTATCGTTGATTAGACAATTTAAAGGCAAGCGTTGGGAATCAGACGTCCCCCTTGAAACAGTCCCTTTCTGACCCTGGTTATTGTCTTCCTGTGCATCAGGATCCCCTCCGTTAACCCTGATTATTATCTACTTGTGCATCAGGATCCCCTCCGTTAACCCTGATTATTATCTACCTGTGCATCAGGATCCCCTCCGTTAACCCTGATTATTATCTACCTGTGCATCAGGATCCCCTCCGTTAACCCTGATTATTATCTACCTGTGCATCAGGATCCCCTCCGTGTTCTATAATTAGATACAAGGGGATATACAGGGGGATACAGACGGACCAGGCCAGGGGGTACTCACCCAGGTAGGCCAGCCCAATGATACAGGGGGATACAGGGTGATACAGGGTGATACAGGCAGACCTTCGTTTGTTTCAAAAAAATATCGTTTTTTAATTTCTCTGAACGATCCTAATCGTTCCGGTCACTGTCAATTAATTTTTCTTAACAACATATTGTTCACGAGAAATCTCGTTTGTTCACAAAAACGAACTTGAAAAAAACTATGCTTTTTTACTAAACAAACGATTTCTTTAACGTACCTTTGAAGAAACTATAGTTTTCAAACAGAACAAACGATTTTATTGAACGAATGATGTAACTGCATGCACAATCTCGATGAATGAACGAAACGAACAAAATAGATGGAAAATGATCAATAATTATGAAAATCTTACGAATTACGAATCTCAATCTTTTTTGAACGACTGACGAACGAAAGAATTGAAATAGTTCGAACTAGATACAGGTAGATATTCAGGGGGATACAGGAGGATACAATATAATACAGCGGATACAGGGGGACACAGGTGGACACAGAGGGATACAGGGGAACTCAGGGGAACACAGAGGGACACAGGGGGATACAGGGGAACACAGGGCGACACAGGGGATACAAGAGATACAGGGAGACACAGGGGATACAGAAGGATACAAGATAATACAGAGGATAAAGGAGGATACAGGGGACACAATGGGACACAGGGGGACACAGGGAAATACAGAGGGAGACAGGGGGACACACGGGGGACACAGGGTATACAGGGAGATGCACGGGGATACAGATGGATACAAGATAATACAGAGGATAAAGGAGGATACACAATGGGACACAGGGAAATACAGAGGGAGACAGGGGGACACACGGGGGACACAGGGTATACAGGGAGATGCACGGGGATACAGAAGGATACATGGGGATACATCCTTTCTACCTCATAATCAGTATCTGCTGTTGGATTAGTATTCTGCTGATCTGTTGGATGAAAAAATGTTCCAACTGCTCTAAAATATTTTTAAAAAGTTGAAATATAATTTTACGTTACCAAATGTTTAAAGTAACGTATGCTTAATTCACATTTTGGAAAAAAATCCTAAAATTAACCTTTAGCTTTTGGATTTGACATATTTTTTGTAGCTGCCATTGACGAAAACTTATCAATAACTTGACAAGAGTTTTCTTTGGCTTGTTCACAATCTTTACGTCAAACAAGAACCTACCTAGCTGTTACATCAGCTCCACAGCTGACAAGAACCTACCTAGCTGTTACATCAACTCCACCACAGCTGACAAGAACCTACCTAGCTGTTACATCAGCCCCACAGCTGTCAAGAACCTACCCAGCTGTTACATCAACTCCAAAGCTGACAAGAACCTACCTAGCTGTTACATCAGCTCCACAGCTGACAAGAACCTACCTAGCTGTTTCATCAGCTCCAGAGCTGACAAGAACCTACCTAGCTGTTACTTCAACTCCAAAGCTGACAAGAACCTACCTAGCTGTTACATCAGCTCTACAGCTGACAAGAACCTTCCTAGCTGTTTAATCAGCTCCAAAGCTGACAAGAACCTACCTAGCTGTTTCATCAGCTCCACAGCTGAAGAGGACATACATAGCTGTTACATCAGCTCCACAGCTGACAAGAACCTACCTAGCTGTTCCATCAGCTCCAAAGCTGACAAGAACCTACCTAGATGTTACATCAGCTCCACAGCTGACCAAAACCTACATGACTGTTACATAAACTACACAGCTGACAAGAACCTACCTAGCTGTTAAATCAGGTACACAGCTTACAAGAACCTACCTAGCTATTTCATCAGCTCCACAGATAGAACCTACTTAACTGTTACATCAACTCCACAGCTGACAAGAACATACCTAGCTGTTACATCAGAGAGCTGACAAGAACCTACCTAGCTGTTACATCAGCTCCACAGCTGACAAGAACCTACCTAGCTGTTACATCAGCTCCACAGCTGACAAGAACTTCTGCCACTTCATCGTTCCCGTAAGCTATCGCAAGATGAAGTGCAGTTAATCCATTATACTCCTCACCCTAAAAATTAGATTATAAATAGTAACTAGCAGTAGAAGAAATTAAAATGTTGATTATGTTGATCAGCTTAATTTATATAAAAAGGAGGGGTCATACTCATGGTTTATGAAGAGATAAAACATTTTTAGAAGGAAAAATTTTAATTTTTAAAGTTAACTTGATCTACAGGGTAACTCATAAAGGATTAGACTTTGAAAAGACAACTAGAAACTATGAAGATTTCAAGGTTAATTTAATTCTGCCTGACAATATCTGTTTCACAATAAAACAAGTTAAGATCAAATGATGGAAAATGAATATAAAAAATAAATACAGCAACCGGAGATCAAAATGCGGAGGATTGGAGACGTAGTAAGATTCACGGAGACGGAAAAAATCGATCGGATTCAACAATCCGATCGGATTTAACAATTTGATCGGATTCAACAATCCGATCGGATTCAACAATCTGATCGGATTCAACAATCCGATCGGATTCAACAATCTGATTGGATTCAACAATCCGATTGGATTCAACAATCTGATCGGATTCAACAATCCGATCGGATTCAACAATCTGATTGGATTCAACAATCCGATTGGATTCAACAATCTGATCGGATTCAACAATCCGATCGGATTCAACAATCTGATTGGATTCAACAATCCGATTGGATTCAACAATCTGATCGGATTCAACAATCCGATCGGATTCAACAATCTGATTGGATTCAACAATCCGATTGGATTCAACAATCTGATCGGATTCAACAATCCGATCGGATTCAACAATCTGATCGGATTCAACAATCCGATCGGATTCAACAATCCGATCGATTTTTGAAGAGTTTCACCATTTTTACATTATCTTATTTAAATCAAATAAATTATGCAAAAACGGGACGATTTGGATCTAACCATACTACTTTATCGGCAAGTTATACCGTTTTGACTTTAAGCAAAAAAAAACATTCCTACCTCTATTTTATCTATGGCACAGGCTGGGAAGTGCCTGAGAAGTGTTCTAGCAATCTTAGTATGAATTAAACTGTTTCCCATTATCAGAATATGGAGCAAACTTTCACCCAGGCTCCCTCGATACTAAAATATGGATAAATTAAACTACTTATTATCAGAATATGGAGCTACTGTCACCCAGGCTTCCTCGATACTAAATATGGATATATTAAACTATTTATTATCAGAATATGGAGCAAACTGTTACCCAGGCTCCCTCGATACTAAATATGAATACATTATACTATTTATTATCAGAATATGGAGCAACTGTCACCCAGGCTTCCTTGATACTAAATATTGAAATATTTGGGAAGCACTTAAATTCATATTTTGTGAATGAATGAAATTTTAAATGAATAACAAATTTAAACTTTCTTTCCCCGTTGCAGAAATTTTGTTATAAATATTATACAATTATTTCATTGTCTATAATTAAGTTGGTAAAGAGAATAGCGTTTTCATGGCACTTTCCCCAGAAACTTGGAGAAAACTTTTATAAACTTCTAGGAATAAAAGTATAATCAGAAATTAAGGACAATCTTCATTTTTTGTCGATACTGAATATATATAGTAATAAAATTTGCTAATATCTTAAAAGTTTTTTTTATAGTATTCAATTAATTTATTTGTAATTAAGATTGCCATTATTTGAATTGCAAAAAGTGTTTTCATTACATGAACATTGCACATTGCACCTTAACAATTCAAAACGTAATTTATAATTTTTAAAATCTTCAAATTGATTGAAATTTGTCCAAAAACAAGTTTGCTTGTAGAAATTCATTTCTTTAGCCAATTCAATCCTTCAAATTTCAAATGAACCCAAAAACTATGAAAATTAACTTAACGTCTAATTAATACCTGCATTTTCCAAACTGCTTTGTGGTCCACCCAGGTGTGAAGAGGATCAAACTGGGTCATGCCAGATTCATCAATACAGATAGTTTCCTCCTAGATGGAATATTGTAATATACTAGGCTTTCAAGGCGCTTGGCGCCCATCTCCTATTTAAATTTGAACATTATCTCTATGTAAGCATAATGTAAGACAAAAACAAAACAAAATTTCACGGATTTTATAAAAAAAATCGTGAATTTTCAAAATTTTCTTATAGATTACTTATAGTACATATATATATATTTATATAGTACAGACCTTATTGTTTCTGTACTTCCATCTCATGTACTCAGTTCGAGTAATCAGCTCACCCTGGCCATTCCAGTACATTAGAGAACCCAGCTGACCGATTATATCCTCAAGAGCCTAGGGGTTCAAAACTTTTGAATAGTAAGTTGGAGCAAACATTAAATAAGGTTAAAGAACTTAATGAGACAGAGGTCAAAACTTTTGTAGAATGTAACTTAAATCCTTGACCACTAAACTACTATCTATAGTGGAAACTTTTAATTCAAAGCAATTTAGGGCTTAATCCGTTAAAAACAGCTGTCTAGCATTTCTTGCAATCTTTTACTTACAAAACGCATATATTTTTAAAGGGATAATCAGTACAAAAGTTTAACCACAAGATATATATATTATATATTTAATATTAAGTTAGCTATAATCTGTTCCATAAATTAATTATTACTGGAATCAATTTACTTTATTAAACAATAAACATTAAATCTAAACTGCACACAAGCTTTCAAGAAATAGAATAGCAAAAAAATTTGTATTGATAAAACTTGAAAGTTCAACTGCAACTAAATGGAGAAAAAAATAAAATTATCTAAAGAAAAATTTTTATTCATAAGGCCAGTCAAGCTTGCATTTGTTATACCTTTGATCCACCTGTATTGAAAGCATCCACCAGCTGACCAGATTTTCTAAAATCCGCGAGTTTATACAAATAGCAGCTGTCAGATGGGTCAGCTGATGCGATAACCCGATCCAGTACAGCGCCAGGGTCAAACTTAATCGTTTTCTTCACCATTTTCCTTCCTTACATTAGCTAGCTACTCATTCTAATATAAAATATTAAGATTGTTTTCTTCAGCAAACTTGATTAAATGCAAACATTCATTAATTTTGTAAAAAGATTTTTGACTGATTGAGGGAAAATTCTTTCCACATTGTATTCACAACTTTCAAATTAGCTTTGCATAAATACAACTGAAAAATATGGAAATCCAAACTGTTTTTATTTTTATTTAATTAAAACATAAATGAAACTATAGAAAATAGTTATAAAGGGCAAGGGCCAAAATTTCATCAGCACCTTATTAGGGATGAAAAAGAGTTAACATTGGAAACATTTGTAAAAAAAAAACAGGAAAGGATTTGAGTCTTAACCACAAACTCTGATTTTCTAATTTCTTTGGAACCCGATGGTGTAAACCTTTGATATTACAAACTAGCTTTGAGAATTTTCGAAATATCAAAGATCTGTAACATTGGGTAACAAAGATAAAGGGTTTAGAAAATCATAAACTCAGTTCTTTTGATTCCAGAATCACTGCAGTGCATCCTTTAAAGGTTTAAAAAATTTATAAAACAAAGGAATTGAGTCTTAGCAACAAACTGTGATTTTCTAATCCCTAAATCTTTGCAACTAAATGTCGTAGGCCTTAGATATTTCATACTATAAATTCCGTTAAATGATTCAAGTTTGAAATATTAAAGGTTTACATCAACAGGTTGCAAAGATATTGGGACTTGGAATTTTTAGTTTGTGGCAAAGACTCAATTCCTTTGTTTACATCTTTTATCTCAAATTGGTTGCACATACAATTATTGAATTAGCCTCAAAAATATCAAATAGGATTGGGAAATTTTAAATAAATAATTTATTGGTTCTTTTTATCTAATTTTTCTGTAAAAAAAACTTTTACTTAAAATGTCTTTGTTAACTAACTCTAAAAGTAAATAGAGCTTGGAAAAATAGATTTTGTGATGAGTAATCAGAGGCCGAACTTAAAGAATTTGAGCAGCGGCTTAAGTTTAAGACGCGGCTCAATATGGTTGGTTCCACTTAAATTGTATTCAATGTTTCAAGATTTTAGTCGGCGCTCAATAGAAACCGGTTTTTGGCGGATTTGAGACGCGGCTCAAATTCATTAAATTCGGACTCAGGTTTATTTGATGCCTCTTACATCTCATCTTTAGAATTTGCAACCCCTTTCTTAGAAAATAATTATTTATATGAATTTAAAAAATCTATTTCAAAAGACGGTTTTCATTACAATGTTTTATGATATTTATTTTATGTTTTTTCCTCTTCATGATTCCATTTTAAATAATTCATTTGTATTTATTGCCCTAGTTATGATAAAATTATCTATATAATAAATATTTAATTTTAATTATGTAAATTCTATTTCTACTATTTGTATTATTATGTTAATTCTTTTTCTATTATTTGTATTATTATGTTAATTTTATTTCTATTATTTATATTATTATGTTAATTCTATTTCTACTATTTGTATTATTATGTTAATTTTATTTCTATTATTTGTATTATTATGTTAATTCTATTTCTACTATTTGTATTATTATGTTAATTTTATTTCTACTATTTGTATTATTATGTTAATTCTATTTCTACTATTTGTATTATTATGTTAATTCTATTTCTATTATTTGTATTATTATGTTAATTTTATTTCTACTATTTGTATTATTATGTTAATTCTATTTCTACTATTTGTATTATTATGTTAATTCTATTTCTATTATTTATATTATTATGTTAATTCTATTTCTATTATTTGTATTATTATGTTAATTCTATTTATATTTTTTGTATTATTATGTTAATTTTATTTCTATTATTTGAATTATTATATTGTTAAAATAACATGTTAGTCTGGTGTTCCTTGTCTGACTGCTAGTAGGTTCCTGACCTCCAAAAACTTTTATTCCACCAAGTTTGCCGCAGTAAAATAAGTTCCCTACGAGGGAAAGACAAAAAATTTGAATTAGGGAATAATATTCAATGCAAACAATTCCCCGCCCAGTGAACCTCGGGGGAAATCAGGGTCATTTGTAACATGAGTAATTCAATCAAAACAAAACATTTATTCAAAAAAATACAAAACATCATTTTTCTTCTTCTTCCATCTGATGATTATGTTCTCATCTTTAGTTGTGAAGTGGCAGGCTTTATGTTGAAGAAACTTCTTTATAAATCAATTCATCAAAAATTAAATAAAAAACGACTTTAAAAAGGAATTTCGATAAACTTTATATTTAATAGACAAAAGGGTAACTTAAAAATATTTGTTTTAACAAAAAGATTAAATGAAAAAACTGTTAAAACATAGAAAAAGTTTTGTATAACAATATACATTTTCCCTATCTTTCCCTCTTTCTCCAAATATTTCATTACTGCTAATTTAAAGTATTTTCTAACTGTTAACTCAAAGCCTGCTTATCTTTTAAATAAACTTTCCTCTTCGGAAAGGTTAAACTGGGACTTTCATGATTGACAGATTGATTGATTGATTTCCTGAGCACTAATATCTGTCCAATTCCTACTGCGCAGACTAGTCCACTGTACACTATACTCCACGTGTCAACCATACCCTGCCGCAGCCATGTTTATTCAAGTAAAAAGAAACATATATTTTTTTTAAAGGTTTAAAGGGACTGTAGGCGTAATTTCAAGCAACCCTCCATTTGTAGAGTGGTGTGTCCGATTTTGACTTATCAAGGTTGTCGAACTTAATCTCATTAATCTACAGAAACGCTTTTAATTATTGAACACTTGGTTTGCAAGCTGTTTTAATCTAAAAATATCAAACTTCACTCGCTAATTTTGAAACCCGCTTTTAACGTAAAATATTCAGTAATTTCAAGGGACACAAATTACGGATCAGCTGTGTTGAGTCGTTGAGTTCACACTGTACGCAGCATACACTAGGCTTTAAAGGAATTCAAGTGGTTTTTGATAGATTTACACACATATATCTCTGTAATCAATGAACAGACAAATGTTTAAAGGGTACCGTTGGGAATCGTAAATTGATTGTTTAGTTGTTAACAAATTAATACAAAACATAGCTTTACGGAAAAAATTATCAGAAACAATGTCACAGAAGCAGTTTTGACTTAAAATTCTTGTTGAAAATGACGACAACATTTTTAATTTAAAAGCATCAGCCAATCATAAAATAAAAATAGAATTGTGTTAAATATTAAGCAAAAAATAGATCAGGGGCATCTTTAAATGGTTTCATTATAGACTTAGCTTTGTTCCTAATTCAAAAAAAGTTTTAGATGTAAGTAAAAAGTATGAATAATAGAATAATATCTTTGGCCTTCAGTTATAGGGAGGACATTTTATTTAACTCACTAAAAATCCATGCATATATTTTCACTGAAAATGTATTTTAGAATTTGAATAAACATTTCCCTGAAGAGATTCCAGTCTTTCTGCATCCTTGCTATTCTACAAATTGTAAAAAATATTTTAAATTTTAATTCATTATTTTTGTATTTCTGAAATTATTTTGTTTCTTTTTTTGGTTTTGATTTTATTTACCACAATAAACATATTTATTGATTAAACAAAAGCAAAACAATTCTTCTACTTCAATTATCATTTATTTCCTAATCAATAATTGTTGCCAAACATGAAAATCTGAACCCAAACAAACAATACAAAATGCAAGCGAGGTAAAAAGAGACAAACTAAAGAATTTTTTATTATTTCTCAAAGGGAGTGTTCGCGAAAAATGAAAGTGGGTATAGGCTTACGGCGAAATATTATCGATGGGGATCGCTACTAATCTTACTTCTATCTGTTGCTTCTATTTAAGGAGAAAATTGTTAAAAACGACTCTTACTGAAGAACGTAGCGTTCATACAAATTCAGAGAGTAGCAACATATGACTCGGATCTATAAAAAAACAACTTAATTCCAAAAAATCATTCAGATATTACAACCTATAATCACTGATAACTTTTCAATGCATTCGTATATAGTTGATATTTCATAATATTTTTAACTTGTTTTATATACAATGCACTTAAAACGCCAATTTTTTTCCGGTAGGTGTCTTTGTCACGTGGAATCATTCCGAGCATTGAAGGTGAATAATTAATAGTAGAATTATATAACAATACACGGCTGTATGTAAACCATGTAATTTCTACATTTTTCAAAAATCATAACCAACAATTTTCGTAGATGTTTCGCAGATACTTTGTACACATTTTGAGCAGGATCATTTTTGAAATGACAATTATAGAAAGCTGTTAGGAGAATGTTAGGAAAGACAAGTCAGGGGTAAGCTAACTGTGAGGACAATTAAGAGCGTTATAAGAAGGATCTCAGTTAGAAGGACAACACTATAAAAGTAAAAAATCGGGAATTTACGAGTAGAATTCAATGTAGAAATATCATAAGAATATTATGAGAAAAGAGAAAAATTGGCACGTTATGAAAAGAATTTCAGTTTAATGGACATTTCATGACATTACGAATATGATTTCAGTTGAGAAGACAAGTTAGCACGTTAAAAACAGTTAAAAATAGGATCTTAGTTTGAAGAACAAGTTAGCACGTTAAAAACAGTTAAGAATAGGATATTAGTTTGAAGAACAAGTTAGCACGTTAAAAACAGTTAAAAATAGGATATTAGTTTGAAGAAAAAGTTAGCACGTTAAAAACAGTTAAAAATAGGATATTAGTTTGAAGAACAAGTTAGCACGTTAAAAACAGTTAAAAATAGGATCTTAGTTTGAAGAACAAGTTGGCACGTTAAAAACAGTTAAAAATAGGATATTAGTTTGAAGAACAAGTTAGCACGTTAAAAACAGTTAAAAATAGGATATTAGTTTGAAGAACAAGTTAGCACGTTAAAAACAGTTAAAAATAGGATATTAGTTTGAAGAACAAGTTAGCACGTTAAAAACAGTTAAAAATAGGATATTAGTTTGAAGAACAAGTTGGCATGCACGTTATAAGAAGGATCTCTACCTGACTGACCAGTCGACATGGTATGAATAGAGGTTGGGAGGGGAAAATTGGGACGTTACGAGTAGTATCATCATAAGCAGGGCAAATTAGCACTTGTTCAGATAGAATCTCAGAAAGGTATTTTTAAACTTTAAGGATGTTTAACTATTAACTATGGTTTATAAAGTACGAACCAGAAAACTGAAAATCAGGTCAATTTGACGCTGTTTCAAAGCAAATAGTTTGAATAATAACTTATGAAATCACTTATTTATTTAAATGGGTCTGTTAATACTCCGCAATTGCTGTGCCTCCATATTCACAGGACAATTCAAAGTCATATTTGAGTCTAAAAGTTCCTATTCCAGAGTTTTCTTGTTCCCACTGTAATATTATAAAATATAATCAGATTTTTACCTTAGATTTGATCCAGTATTGCTGATGCCTGGCTCTTGCAAGAGAATGTCTGACCTAGAAACAACGTTGAATAAAATCTTTAAATTTACTTATTAAGTGAAATGATCCTAATAGTCGTCTATCTATTTAACAATTGCTTGAGTCTCATTGCATATTAAAATTAAAGTATAATAATAGTCTGAGCAATGGATGCATTTTGGGTAATTAATAATTAAGAGAAAATAACAATTTAATAAAATATAATTTAGTAACCTGACAATATATTTAATTTGTTTTAACTTTCAGTTTGATAACCTTGACAATTTGGTAACGCTACAATATGGCAACCCGACTTAAAAAGATAAAGTTATCATGTAATTCCTGATAGTTCCGTAATGATATGATAAAAAAGTATGTCTTAAAAAACTTTTTTAACCTTTGTAACTGTTGTCATGATCTCTTTAGAGTTTTCTTCAAAAACCTCCATTGTTCTGAATACCCCGTTTAAGTTAGTCGAACAATTAACAAAAAGCATTATTAAAAAAACGGCTTTATAAATTCTGGGAGGGAAACTTTTAAATGAAGGGTAGGACTTATTCTTGATCTACGTAGGGTATTGACTGATTTATAAAGCATTCTTTGCCCCAAGCTCAGATTTTTATTCCTTATATCTTCGAAACTTGATGGTGTAGACCTTAGATATTTCAAACTTTACATTTTGTGAGATCAAATAATCTAAGTTTGAAATATCAAAGGTTTACATTTTAACGTTGCAAAGATATAAGAATTAGAAATTTTGAGTTTGTGGCTAGATCTCGATTCCTTTCCAAACTTAAGCAAAGGCCGGCGCTAAATATACGTACATTAACTCCGACAATTGAATTGGAAAACTTTATTTTAAAATTCAAGGGAGTGAAGCTTTGCTGTCCTGAAACTGAGTATCCCTGTTTAAGAAAGCCTTGACAATCTCCGCCACATTTTCGTTCTCATCTCCAACCACATCCACCTCCCACATCAACTTCTTACTCTCATACATCGAGTACCTAGGCATACAAACATATTAACACCAAAAATTAAATTTCTGAAAAATTGGGGATTCTTAGAAAAGTGGAAATGAAATTGGAAAATTTATAATTAAAAGGACTCTAAAGGTAAAATGATAAGGGGTATAGGCTGAAAGCTAATCACTTTAGCTCTTGATCGCGACCCATGAAAGTTATATCTGATGTTTCTGTCTCGAGAAATTGATATAAAACTTTGTAAAATTTCTACGAAAATTCATACATATACAATTTTGTATGGAAAGAGTAGGTTTAAACAGATCATATTCAACAAATACACAACGAATCTGAAAACGAAAATATTCCAGATGAAGCTAATCCTTACTTTGGTTGCTCCAATTATAATTTTATAATTTTTATATCTATTTTTAATAGATATAATTGATAATATTACTATAAGTCCGTATTACGACATCATAACTCCCACCAATGAGAGTGCAGTATAGTGGTCACGTGTCTCTGTCTGTAGCACGTGACCAGTATACTGCACTACCATTGGTGGGAGTTCTGTTGACGTAATACGCACTTATAAATAAAATTATCAATTCTCTATCAGGATAAAGCCCCCTCTCTTCTTTAAGGAATCTTGGAGGAATCTTGATTTACGTTATTTGTTGAACTATGTTTCATGAGGGGCATCAGAGAGATAAAAACTTTTAAGTAAAATATCCATTAAGTTAAAATATATATCTTTCTTAAAAATGCATAATTTTTGGAATCTTTAAGAACAGTACACATTGTAAGCTCATATTAATACAATTTAATGTTGAGTTATTTGCAGTGTGGAGCGTGTAATTTTTCACATCTTTTAAGAGATTTAAACACGCATGAACAAATTTATCTTTGCACACTTTTAAAAGTTTCTCCGTCCTATACTAGAATTTTCCATAACCGGCATGCATCCATCTTATATTGCCATCGAACATCTGACATCATTTCAAGTAGTAATTTGGCATAAATTGATAGTATGCGTACATTTACTACTTTAGCTTTGATGATAATTTTAAGCAAGGACAAAAACCGGGTTATACAAAATGAAACTTCTTTATACGTTCATAATCATAACAATTTAAAGCAGATAGAGATCGTCTTTGTTTCATTTATTGAATAGAAATAACGCTGACGATATGGTGGAGTTTCTTAGGGTTAACAGGTACAATTTCAGAGTTTAAAAAGTTACAAATTACAAAACTAATCCTAAGCGATGTTTCCAATTTAGATTTTTTTGCAACACCCTGCACAGGCATCATTTTGAACAGGGTAGAAGGACAATGTGTTTGAAAAAAAAAGATTAAAAACGTAAATAAATCGAATAAAGTTATTTCCTGATAGTTGGTGAAATGTCCTTCTCGTTTTCTGGCTTGAAATGTTATTAGTTTATTCTGAGCATCTAATAATAATAATAANTAATAATAATAATAATAATAATAATAATAATAATAATAATAATAATAATAATAATAATAATAATAATAATAATAATAATAATAATAATAATAATAATAATAATAATAATAATAATAATAATAATAATAATAATAATAATAATAATAATAATAATAATAATAATAATAATAATAATAATAATAATAATAATAATAATAATAATAACAATAGTAAAAATAATAATAATAATAATAATAATAATAATGATAATAATAAAGATAATAAAAATAATAATAATAATAATAATAATAACAATAATAATAATAACAAGAATGATAATTTTATTTCAGGAATTATAGCAATTTGTTATCATTAAGTTTCCTTTAAGTCTCATGCTGATATCTAGTTGGTTTCCATTCCTAAATTAATTTATTAATTAATAATTAATTCACTTAATTAGAATAATGAATAATCAACAGTTATAATAAAACTTACTTAGTTGAAATGACAAGATAATGAATATTCACAATATACCCTTCTTTCAAATTTTCCAGGAAAAAACAGTTTTCGGCTCTTTAAATAGTATTTTTTGAACAATAAAAAAATCTGCAATTTTAAAAATTCGAATGTATTATGAATATATAATTATATCAAATTATATCTTTAAGGAAGTAATTTATAATCTAATTGTATAAGTAATGATAGGGTCGTGTATAAAATTTATCAGGTAGAGTGGATCATCCACCAAAGTTGCAATAGGCATCTAGCATATTTGCATATCGCGTAATACATCATAATAGATTTGAAGAACAAGTTAGCACGTTAAAAACAGTTAAAAATAGGATATTAGTTTGAAGAACAAGTTAGCACGTTNGGGGGGGGGGGGGGGGGGGTAATAAATCTTGTATTTGATCTGTAACAATGAAGATTTTATAATTATTTACTTAAACAATATCTCATAAAACATTTCTGTCTGGTTTCTGTTAAATTATATTAGACAGAGTTAACTGTAAAGGGAATGTTGTTGTTATTTTATGTGACCCTCATATAAAGAAAGATATGCTCGATTCACAACTGTACCCTTTCATCTTGTATCTGATCAATAATGTGGAAGATATTGTCACTTTACAGGCTTGAAAACTGTTTTAAACAGTTTCCTACGTTAAGGCATGAATAGAGAAAAAAAGACAGAAAATGATTAATTTTCAAAGAGAAAAACATACGTTTAACATATTTGCATTCATTGGTCAAACAAAGCTTTTATGAGTACCTTTGTGAATCGGCCATGTCACTCTATAAATGGATGGCCATTTAAAATTACGTCTTCAGCTACTTGAAAGTGTTTATGTAAATGATCTGAAGTAAAATATATTCCTATTGAGCACATTTATAGTATATCTAGCTTGATACTCTAGGTTCGGCACCGGGTCCTAAAAGTACAAATGTATCATTTTTTGCTAAAAACATATTTGAAAAAAAAACTTATCCACTAACCTGAGTAGAAAGTTGACCGGAAGGGTTTCCATAAGCTGCCGGATCTAAAGCGTTAACATTGTGTAAGATGAGAATAATTAGTAAAATCTTCATGTTTAAAGGTAGAAAACAAACTAGACAACTTCAGGAGATAAGAATTTGAATTCAAGAACATATAGGAGGGGGGAGATATCTTTACAGAGGAGGAGGGGGGGGGGATATCTTTACAGGTATCTCTTTAAAATGTACACATCATACCTTCACAAAACTTGTCAGAGGATACAGTGAGAGCCAGAAAACTGTGGGAAAATGGAAGACGACATTAAACCACGTATACAAGTGTTTTAGTGTTGTTTCAAAGCAAATAGTTTTACTAGTAGCTGTGTTGTGAAATCTAGAGATCTTGGAGAATCTCTATTCAGCTCAAAAATGTTTATTACAAGTGCTCCCACTTTAAGAACGTACTTCCAAGATTCCCAAGATATGATTGAAGATTAATGTTCAAAAGGTTTACAAAGCTTAAAGTTTATCCCTCGGATTAAAGGGACTCCGTCAGTTAATATCTATTTGTAAAAAAATATACGAAAATATAAACAATAAAATACAAAAATGCACGGCTCTTGAATTTGTTTAATACTGCAATTTTAACAAGTTAAAATTGCATGGAAGAATACATAAAAAACATAAATCTCTACAAATATTTTTAATTGAGAATTTTTTTTCATTAGATAAAAATATTAAAACTTACATTACGGTGGGGTTCCACTTGCATGAGAGCACAGTATAGTTCAGTCTTTGCTTGCATACTCGTTAATCGATCAATAACATCTAGACGAATTATTAACAATCAACTAGCTACAAATATTCATAATTTGACAGTTTACACTAATTCCTTTAACATATTCAGAAATAAAGAATAATCACCTTTTAAAATTTGAAGGCTTGACCAAATCCAAGTTAAACACTGCAGTTGACACCGTGTTGAAAGATAGGCCAATAGTGCTTTCCAAGCACTATTTCCAGTTTTCTTTAGAAAACTAAGGTTTGCTTTAATCTGTACATTGAATTTAAAAATGCATTTCAATGTTGGCAGAAACTCAGCCTTACTTCAATCTGCTAAATTAATTATCTTTAGGTCGTTATCATCTTTAGGTCTTTCTAGAAATGCATTTTTTTACAAATATGAATATTGCCTTTTCCACAATTTATAAGGCTATACATAAAAACTCCAGGAGCGCGAAGCACAATTGACTTAAACATTTCCTGATCACAGATCATCGAGATAATGTAGTATAGTACAACCTCGGGCTTTATGAAAACTACTCATCGTTTCTGATAAAGTTCACAGAAATTAGCAGTTTTGAGGAACTAAAACCAGGCGCGCAACTAGACATTCAGCTAGGGGGTATAATTGTGGGGAAAATTTAAATTTGTGTGGGAAAAAACTTAATCTATATTTCAGGGGCAATTTTTTCAGCTGGGGGAAATCTTAAATCTTTTTTATCAGGGCAAATTTTATTTTTGGGGGGCTTTTTTCAGTTTGGTCAGTTTTGTATATGGGAAATTTTTAATCTTTATTTTGGGGTCAAATTTTTTATTTAAAGGCATTTTTAAATTTGTAAAGGAGCATTTTCAAACTAAGGGTTATTTTTGTTGGTGGCTAAACTTCTTATTTTCTTAGCATTATCTAAAAATAAGGGACATTTTTTTAGCTAGTGCTGTAAATTTTAAAGTTGGTTGTATTTATAAAACATTTGGGGATAAAAAAATTTAATATCCAAATTTGGAGGCATTTTAAAAAAAGTGGAAAATAAAAAGAATCTGAGCTTTTACTGAAAAATGTTAAGGCTGAAATTAAGTTTGCTTAATGAGTGTAGGTTAAAAAAAAATTACTGTGGGGGCATTTTACTTTCTTCAAATTTTCGAAAAAATTAGCTATTTTTGGAACTATACATATATGAAGTATGGACCCCTATCAAGGACTTCTTGCCCCCCCCCCTCCCCCTACAGGGAGGCAAGTTTTCTTAATGGTGGGCAGGCCCCTCCTCTAGTTGCGCGCCTGACTAAAACAGTTTTCTAAATTTAGGTTATATATTAATTAAATATTTTTCTTAAAATGTTTTCATGCTGTACTTCATGGTTTTGAATATAAAATAATCTTAAAACTTAAAATTGTTTCAAGAATGAATTTTCATTTAATGGATTCTTGATGATTTTAAAGTGAATTCTAAATTAGTATTTACAAAAAAAAACAATGCAAATTAGATCTCATTTCTCCATCTTCATCTTGAGTCTTGAATCATCTCTAGGGTTTACCGAATCATCTTCAACCTAGATTACAGATTTTACATGTGAACACTGCACTGCTCTGCTTCATGTTTATAACTTTTCAAATCATGAAAAAACGTCTTTCTACTCCACAGTTTTCTGGTTCTCACTGTATGTAAAGGGATGATTCATTTATACGAAATACGTAAAAAATTCTCAATTTTTGGAATTAGGAACAATGTGTATCTTACTATATACTCAAAGATCCTTTTGTTAAGGCTTAATTCAGACTGTTTGTAAAAATCCCGACCTTACTCTCAGGATTATTTTATTACAAAAATATATGTCGCAAAAATATTGCATCATCAGGAGTAACACAGCTATAAAATAAATTCATGACACAACAAATTAAAAACAAATAATAAGTCAAAACTAAAGAAAAAAAATCAAAAGGAAAAACTTTATGAGGTGAAGCCAAAAAGACCGCTTGCCAGGGTATATTTGTTGCATACAACGGTGCTGCAGGTTGATCGACTCTACACTGGGTAGTTCAGTCTGGAGAGTACGGCTAAACGATAAACTGTGCATATTGTACCGGTTCGGATTATGCAATTTTTAAAATGGGGTGCCTAATGCTTTCCCGTTCTCAAATGTTTTGCATTTAAGTTTGATATTTTAAACTTTAAAATATTTGGGTCTCTGTTGAAATCATTAGAACTCATAGTTTTAGATCATAACAGATTAAATTGGTGATTTGGTAACAATCTAGATTTTTGATCTCCATGTTTACAATTTAGCAACAATAAAATGACAGACTGAATAATTGCCAATATTTTACAGACTGTGGGAAAAACATGCAAAATATGTTGCAAGCAGTAATAGTAATTCATTGGTGTGTACTATTGCACGATTCATAATATATGTTTTGTTTAAAAAATGCATAACAGGGAAGTGAATTGCATTTTTGGCAATAAATCAAAAATGCCACTTGTTCTTCGTGTGTAAAATAGGTTACTTCAACGAACTGAACAATTCTATTTTTCTAGTCTCTATATCTCTGCAACCTGATGGTGTAAGGTTTTAAATCTGGCAGGATTTATAGGTGGAATTTTAAAGGTCTACAGACTACGACCACCAAGATTTACACAACTAGGTGGTAGGCAACTTTATCAATATATTGAAGACGAGTTTCGATTTTAATTTTGATTTATATAAAGTTTTTAAACAGCATGGATGCACAAAAACATCGGAACAGTTAGAAGCTGTAAATAAAAAAAATTTTTTATTGCTTGTAAGCTTGTAATTCGAAAAAAGCTTGATAACAATTACAACTTAAATAAAAAGTCGTGTTCATTATTTTACTACAATCGCCTACCAGATTGATCCAGAAAGAAACTGTAAACTCTAATCTAGATTACTAGATTACTTGGTTTACATAATGTAGGAAGTTCCCACGAAAATATACAGTTCCGTCCTTTCTTCATTGTTTTAATGGAAAGGGCAGAACAATTTTTTTGGTGAAATGAACCAGCATTTTTCATAGATTTAAAATTCGGTGATGGACCAAACCTCTGTAGAGTAAAAAAAGTAGATGTTAGTTCCACATTTTATAATAAAATAAAAACTATTTTTTTCTGTTCATTCCTCTGAGTTCAGTCATAAACTCTCTAATGTATTTAGATTCTCGTACTTCAAGTAAACTTCTCCCGAGGTCCCAAACCTTCTCTAGAACGCTAACTTTTAGATGGTATAGTTCATGTCCAGGTTTGTATGGAGATTTCTAATGTAACCAATATGTTCTCTCACTCTTTCATTTGAAGGATGGATGAATTCCTGAAGAATGATGGATGAATGCCTGTAGAAGGATGAATGAATTCCTATAGAAGGATGGATGAATTCTTGTAGAAGGATGGATGAATTCCTGTAGTAGGATTAATGAATTCCTATAGAAAGATGGATGAATTCCTGTAGAAGGATGGATGAATTCCTATAGAAGGATGGATGAATTCCTGCAGAAGGATTGATGAATTCCTGTAGAAGGATGAATTAATTCCCGTAGAAGGATAAATGAACTCCTGTAGAAGGATGATTGAATTCCTATAGAAGGATGGATGAATTCCTGCAGAAGGATTAATGAATTCCGGTAGATGGATTGATGAATTCCCGTAGAAGGAATGAAAATGAACTCCTATAGAAGGATGGATGAATTCCTGTAGAAGGATGGATGAATTCCTATAGAATGATGGATGAATTCCTGTAGAAGGATGGATGTTTTCCTGTAGAAGGATGGATGAATTCCTGTAGAAGGATGGGTGAATTCCTATAGAATGATGGATGAATTCCTGTAGAAGGATGAATAAATTCCTATAGAAGGGTAGATAAACTCCTGCAGTTGGATGAATGAATTTCGGTAGTAGGATGAAAGAGTTCCTGTTGAAGGATGAATGAATTCCTGTAGAAGGATTAGTGATTGGAATGAAGGATGAATGAATTCCGGAAGAAGGATGAAAGAGTTTCTGTGGAAGTATGAATGAATTCCTGCTAAAGGATGGATGAATTCTTGTAGAAGGAGGGATGAATTCCTGTAAAATGATGGATGAATGCCTGAAAAAGGATGGATGAAAAGTCCTGCAAAGGATGAATGAATCTTACAAAGAAATAAACCATCCTTAGTACTGGGCCTATGTCCCAACAGGGGATGAGTGGGTTGGTGGATGTCAATCTTGGGAATCAACTTACTCAGGTTCCCAAAATCCCAACACTCAGTGCGCTTACATCCAGGGTTAGATAAAAGAAGTGGTTTTCAAACAGACGCCACGAGGCGTGGTTGTACACGTATCGTTAGGGGAAGTACTGTGACTTCCTAGATGGACCAGAATACCCCCAGGAGTTTCGTTTAATAATAATAATAATATTATAGTATATACAACATTGTCTATGTTTGCAAGGTAGGGGAGGGGGGGGATTGTAGTCCAAATAGCCGTTTTCCATTCAACATGTTCACATATACCAGAACTGCTAAGATAAGTTGCAAAATTTTTATGACTGGTTCGTCTTGGAAGTTACACATTGCTTTTGCATTTGACTTTATCTCACTTTTCATGCAAATGCTTTTGTGTAGCCCTAGACATGTATATTGTATAAAGTATTAGTTTTTAGCTTGAGCTTTTCAGAAGAAACCGGCAAAATTCGCGTGGAGTTTTTGCAACCTTTGGATCACTGTGTGTTGTTCGTTATAAAATTCCTTTTTTAAATTATGCGTTTTAGATTAAGTCTTGAAGAGGGTGAACTAAAACTATTTTCGGCACATCAGAATGGAATTGAGTCGTTGTCATGCAAACTCAAATTTTATAATCTCTGTAAATACTGGTGGTGTAAACTTTAATCATACCATACTTAGCTTGTTTTATTTTATCATAGTTTGAAAATCCAAGGTCTACGACATTGGGTTGCAAAGCTTTAAAATCTGAGTGTGTGACAAAGACTCATTAGCCGTTTGCTCAGCGAAATAGACCAACTTTTGAAGTCTGCAAGTGAAAAAAACTTCAAATTCAGATTCATACTTACAGAACAACTTGCTTACCATTTCTAATATTGAACCCCCCAACTTCCTAGTGACACATCTCACAACAAGATGAAGAATCATGACTAAAATACACACGTGGCATCCTGTATCACAACATAGCTTCCTGTATTAAAACATGTTAACAATGATAAAATGAATTGTCCCTGGGCAAAATGAAAAATAAACATCAACTAAACAAATGCACATTTAAATAAGAATTTATGGGAATTTAAAATGCTCATACAGAATAGATGGGAAATATCAGAAGCATACAATTAATGTATATTTTGTAAAGTTATGATTCAGATGACTATTTGCAACGTCAGAGTCCAACTAGTCCAATTAATTTTATCTGATTATTATTTTATGCTAGTAAAAGATTTCTCTTGTTTTGTTATTTATTTAAAAACCAAAGCAATTTCATATTTCTTATTTTTATTCAAAAACAAAGCATGAGATATTACGAATAAGAGTCACAATTAATAACCATAACCTTAAGTTTGTCAAGAGACAGAAACTTAAATAAATATTTGAGATAAAATGATTTTTTATATTTTTATCAAAATTTTACGTAACGAAAAATTGTTTTCAAACTCTACAAATCTCTTTAAAGAGATTGTAGACTTAGTTTCAAGTGACCCTCCATTGATAGAGCTGCATGTTCAATTCCCAACGGTGTCCTTCAAAGCTTTGTCGGATCAAGTATGAATCAGATATCAACGTTTTTGTTTCGGAGAACTGATTATTTTCATTTTTTGTTTCTGACATTGCCCCTTTTTAAATGGATCGGGTCACTAAAGTGGCAACGACTGTTCCTTTTAATAATATTAAAGGGACTGTAAGCTTAATTTCAGGTAACCCTCCAATTATTGAAGATTGAAGACATATTATTTTTCTTTAAAAGTTTTTTTTTGTGATGGATCTTATATTTTCCTGTGGTAGAAATGCGCATTTAGAGAAATTCCACAATTAACAATAATTAGTTTTTAAAATTGTAAAAAACTGATATAATTAATACTTGGTTAGACACAGCTTTACATGGTACTGTTGTGAATTGGGCATTGTCATCTTTGCATGGGAGTCACTTGAAATTGCACTTTCAGTCCCTTTAAAAATATCAAATTAGCGATTTTTAAACGGTAAATACTGATTACAAAATAGTATAAATCAATCAGCGCATTTATATTCACCACAGTCTGCACGGTTAGTGCACTGATAATGCATTGCCGGGAACAATAAAACATTCTTGGTTTCACACAAATATATCCATAGTTTATACTCTGTATATCCGTAGTTTAAATGCCTTAAAACAATACAATGCACCGTTAATCCTGCACTTCAATCACCAACATAAGTCATTTCATAAGTTTAAATATAAAATAGGCCTCAGGGGCATATACAGGAATTTGAAGAAATATTGCTTCCATCCATACAATAAGAGCCTAGCTTATTTATGTAATTTTTATTAAAGGAGTAGAGTTGGTCTCATAAACGTTTTTTACCATTGGGTCATTCTTCTATATATAAATATATAGATCTATCTATAAATTTGGCTTGTCTGTCTGTCTGTTTGTTTGTTTGTCTGTTTGTTTGTATCCAATAAACGTCAAAACGGCTGAACCGATCGGGCCCAAATTTTTTTTGGGACATCTAGGGACTCCAGGGAAGGTTTATAAATCATCAAAATTTCAAATATTTGTCTCCATCAAAATTCGATCGTCATTAAATTTTTTAAAATTTTGAAAATCCGCGAAATTTTTTGTGAAAATCCGCGAATTATTTTTGTTTTGTTTTACGATGTACACAAAGAGAACATATTCACAATTAATTTAGAAGATGGGCGCGAAGCGCCCTCTAAGGCTAGTATTTTATATAGAGTCAATTAGCATCCATAACATAGAAAGTTAAGCTTGTATATTTTGTTGGATACTCATAAAACTGAACAATTGATCTCGATATCCACTATGGGCACTTTTAATTTGAGGATCAATGCTTAATTTCTTTATTTCAGTTATTCCTGAAGAGCATGCAATCACCTCTGGATATTGAAGAATAGCAGAATATCGAGATCAAGAACTTATCCCGATATTCACAATACAAGAGCTCTCGCTGCTGGCTACTTAGTGAACGAAATCGTTCTCAGAACTATGATACATTTCTTAACTACAAAAAAACCCTCGTATCCAGAAATAAATCGACCCTCTCCCCCTCCTCCCCCCCCCCCCCAAAAAAAACACTAACTATTATTTTCTAATTTCTAAATCTTTGAAGCCTAATGTTGAAGTCCTTTGAATTTAAACTATGAATGAATTTAAGCTATGCATAATCCTTAAGGAAACAGTCTTATTGTTTTAAATATCAAAGGTTTACACCATCAGATCGATTATAAAGATAAAAGGTTTAAAAAAAATACATTTCCAAAGTCAGTAATTTTCCTATATTTAAAAACAGTAAACGAGCTTTTTATTATTTTTAAGAAATGGGAGCTAGTATTCAACCCGCCAATCTTTTTCATTCTTAATTCTTCAATTATTCTTCTTGTTTATATTTATTTTTTAGCACGGGTAAAACCCATGAAAAGTATAGTTTTTAAAAGTTCTTCTGTTTTTTTTAGGATTTTTTTGTTCATTAAACGCCTCTTTATTCAATCACGTGGATTCTTTTCTCACCGAAACATGATTAGAAAGAATAATGAGAAGAGACCTGAACGGAAGGTAGTTCTTTCCTCTATGCAGGAGCAGAGCGCCAAACCACCATCTTTTCTCAATCTGTAACAAGACGGAGTTTAGTCAGTTCATTCTTAACCTCACTTCCTTGTACACAATACATAATTCACAGTGATTACGTAGCTTCCTGTTTCTAATATTTATTCTTCAATACTTATATTCTCCTTTTCCTTTAAGTTATAATTTTTTCGTGCTTTCAGCAACAGGGTACCAAGAAAGGACGAGACTTTGTATGAAACTGTTAACTTGTTTTTACTGTGTTAACTAATTAAGTTATGTCTGTTTAAAACTACAAATCAACCTTGAGATCGTTATATTCTTCATAAAAGTCTCGTCTTTTCAACTTTGGTGGGTCTAGATAATCCTGTATGTTCTGTCACAAGCTCCTTCCTGATATATTCTCAATACTCTTAAGTTTTGTTGATATCAAACCCATAATGGACCTCATTAAAAACATCCTGATATTTATATCCTTTATCCTTTCTATTAATCTGAACCCTTCCTGATATACCTAAACCCTTCCTGGTTTTATTTATATCCTTCATGGTTCTCCTTAAATCCTACCTAATATATCTAAACCCTTCCTGGTTTTATTTATATACTTTTTATCCTCCTTAAATCCTTCCTGATATATCTGAACCCTTCCTAGTTTTATTTATATCCTTTATGGTTCTTCTTAAATCCTCCCTGATATATTTAAACCCTTCCTGGTTTTATTTATATCCTTCATGGTTCTCCTTAAATCCTACCTAATATATCTAAACCCTTCCTAGTTTTATGATATCCTTCATGGTTCTCCTTAAATCCTTCCTGATATATCTAAACCCTTCCTAGTTTTATTTATATCCTTCATGGTTCTTCTTAAATCCTTCCTAGTTTTATTTATATTCTTCATGGTTCTCCTTAAATCCTTCCAGATATATCTAAACCCTTCCTAGTTTTATTTTTATCCTTTATGGTTCTCCTTAAATCCTTCCTGATATATCTAAACCCTTCCTAGTTTTATTTATATCCTTCATGGTTCTCCGTAAATCCTTCCTAGTTTTATTTATATCCTTCATGGTTCTCCTTAAATCCTTCCTAATATATCTAAACCCTTCCTAGTTTTATCTATATCCTTTATGCTTCTCCTTAAATCCTTCCTGTTATATCTAAACCCTTCCTAGTTTCATTTAGATCCTGTATGCTTCAACTTAAATCCTTCCTAATATATCTAAACCCTTCCTAGTTTCATTTATATCCTTTATGCTTCAACTTAAATCCTTCCTATATCTAAACCCTTCCTAGTTTCATTTATATCCTTTATGCTTCAACTTAAATCCTTCCTGATATATCTAAACCTTTCCTAGTTTCATTTATATCCTTTATGCTTCAACTTAAATCTATCCTGATTTATCTAAATCCATCCTATAATATGTTAAATTAAACAAGGCCTTCTTGGTTTGAATTATATCCTTTAAGGTGCGACCCCTTCAAACTTCACAATAAACCTAACCTAGACTACTTGAAGGGACTGAGTAATCTCAATATCAAGGCACCCTCCATGCACAGATGACGATTCCCGATTACCAACGATACCCTGAATTATAGGAAAAATGTTTTTAACTAACTGTTTTTTTTTCAAATGTGATTTCTCTATAAAAATTGAAGTACGTATTTCTATTGCAGGAAAACAATACTCAGAATTGAACATTTTTAAATCTTAAAAAGCGACAAAATCAATCTTAGCATTATTGATCTTAACATTAACATTCTTATAGATTGATCAGATTCCGGAGAAGAAGAAAATATCAATCTAATCATTTAAACTTTTCAGAGAATACAATGTTATGGAATAAAGGGTTTACAGAATAAACACTGGTGCTTTAACAATCCTGACCAGTTTAAATTCCTTAGTACAGTAACAGTACAAAGAACATTACATCCAAGGGGTTCCTTTTAAACAGAATGAATTGGTTTAATCAATATTAATACTAAAATCTGGTTAAACATCCATTAACCAAACCATGATGATAATTCAGGTAAGCTAATTTGTAAATATTTAACACATTTCACGAGGGGTTAATATTTTTCACGATAATTTACCCCCCCCCCCCCTGAATTAGGAAAATATTTGCAGATTTTCAGAAAAGAATAATAATCTTTCGATATATATCTTGCCCTTAAATGTTTAAAGAATACAAAACAGGAATTATATAAAAATCAAACAAAAAGTACATGAAGCGTGGGGGTAGGGGGTGGATTTTGGAATCCCTTCATCTAACTTTACATAAATATAATTTAACTAGAGTTACCTAGGGTACCCAAAGTTACTTCTGCTGTTTACCCGCGCTTGGTCTATAATTAAGATTTTAACTATTTTTCCCTGTAAAAGTGGATTCACTCAACTTAGAATCTCAAATTCAAGCTAATTACATTCCTATTAGATCCGAGTTCGCCAACCAAAATTTGAGGCTAATCTGTGAATGGGTTCCTGAGTTATGATCGGACAACCAAACAAATTGATATAGAAGAGTAATTTCAATTGACCTTTCTTTGAAAAGTGGCATGTAAGATTGCCAACAACAAGGATAACGTGGAATTACTATTAATTTATTCACATAAAAGATTGTAATTTTAATGAGTTTTTTTATATATTTTACACACTACAAGTTACAATCAAATTTAGCGAGAAAAACACAAATCGATGATCAGACAAAGATTTTAAGGACAGAGTTGGGCATACCAGTCTAAATAAATGGAGGATTGCTTGAAATTTCGGCTACAATCCTTTTAAACAACATTGAGATATTTTACTATTTTCAGGCACTCCTTATACTCACCTACTTTCAAAATAGTCCAGTGAACTGTATCCCAGATGCAGTTCCAAAACCTTCTCCGGATGCAAGTCCTGATGGCGCACCTTCTCCAGGCCCTGATGGTAAACCTTCTCCAGGTCCTGGTTCAAACACTGGCCAGCTTATCTCATTGTCAAGATTAAGGTAAACATTAAACAACCATAAAAGAATGAAAATATTATCTCATATAAATATTTCTCTAATTAATCTTAAATTTCAGACGTATTTTGCAATAAAGTTGAAAGACTGCCAAATGAGCGATTTTTTGGTTGAATATGAGCGATTTTTTTTTAATTTAGAGTAAGGTCCACAACAAAATCTAAATTTTACGTAACTTCAAATTAACAACGTCCAAATTTCAGAGCACTGGGAGATGCAATTTCCAATATTGACAATACTGAAGAGAAGGAAAGTGATGAATCTATAATTGGTGACAAATACTCAACCAAGAAAATCAAAAACTTTGATTTTCTGTTTGAAAAGTTACAAAACCGTGATCATTCTCTGAAAGGAGTTAATTTCTTGAATGAAAATGAACCTGTTGGAAACGATAACAGTCAGAACACACACAGAAGACAAGTAACGCAAGCAGATCTACTCAGTGCACTCAGGAATAATAGAAATAAATTTAAAGTTCAAAGTAGCATTCTGTATTACAATAAACAACACGGATCAATTTTTTCCCACTTATTTCTATCAAAAATCATTTAACTTCGATTTCTAATTCCGGTAATAGCCCCCGAGATTTGAGATGAAAACTTAAGGCATTTCTCGACGACATCAAAGTCATACTTCTTTTTGTAAAATTGATTTCCTCATGCTTTTGTAAAAATATACAATAAAGCTGATATATACCAAAATAAATAGAACCAGGCAAAAATATTAAAAGCTTGTTAATGTTTTAAACTTTATTAACTCAAGTAAATTGGCATTGATCACAAGGTAATTTGCAACAAACTTAAATTTTATAATTCGTATATCTTTACAATCCGATATCGTAGACCTTTGATATTTCAAACTATGAATTCTGGTAGATCAAAAATCTAAGTTTGAAATATTGAAGGTACAATTGGGGTGCAAAGATATAGGGATTAGAAAATTTGAGTTTGTGGCAAATATTCCTGGAAGATTAGAATCTTAAACAAACAATTTTTTAAATGTTAAATCATAAAAAAACTTTTAATAATATATTCTAGCCTTCTCCTAACTACGTCTTTGTTCTTCATCAAATAAAATATTGTTTTCTGTTAGCTCTGGTGGTGGTGGTATAGAGGTAAAGCAGAAGGAAGGTGGACCTGAGATACGTGTTGTTCAGCAGGGAGATGATATTCAGGTTTATTCACCATAATTTAATAATTTCCCCCATTATGAATTCACAAAAACGTTGTTCAAAATATCTCTTTTGTTTTATTTATTTTGAATTGTAAAAAACTTAAACATTTTTAGTAATTGCAGAATTTTAGGCTTGAATTAAGCTTTAAATAGTTCGATGAACATGAAACACAGCAGTTGTGCAGTGTAAACACGTAATAAGTGATTTAATAATTTAATAGTAAAATTAATTGCTTTATAACAACATCAAATCACTCAAGTATTGCTATATGTCATTTTCCTATTCCACAGGTTTCTGATTCTCACTGTACTTGTACATTCTTAATCCTAGGTTTTAGTAGACAATATTCCCCGTAGGGTTGGAGAAATGTACGTAAAGAAGAAGGGTTCATTTGATGTGAGCAAGTAAGTTAGTTAGCAACTTAGCACGATATATTGTATTCGAGTTCATGTTAACTTGTCTGGAAGATAGAAGTAAATTGCAATAATCTAATTGTTCTTCAGGCTTCCAGATCCCGGGAACGGAATAAAAATCAGCGAACCCTTCAGGCAAGTATTTTGAAAAATGCAATTTATCATATTTTGCTTATCTGTCAAACAGCCGGTAGAAAGTGAACGTGTTGATTTTTAAAGGGGATGGTGGAGATGTCCTATTTGATGAGGGGGGGGTCCCTGCCTTCATTTTTAGTTCAAATCTTACAATTTTTGGGCTGCACGCCTAATTAGGGAGTTAATTTCCAAATATAAAATAAAATTGGACACTAATGACCTCTAATGACCTCTAATAACCACGACAAATAGAAAATGTTTTTTAAACTATGGCTTTATGCATATCAAACGAAAGCTAGGAACCCAGGCAGTACAATGGAAGCAAAGAATTCAGTGTTTGACCTTCTAGTGACCCCTCCTCCCCCTCATCAAATAGGACATCTCCGCCATCCCCTTTAGGAAATCCATAAATGTAATCGAAAAATTTCGCAATATTTTTAAATGATTTACAAAGTAAAAATGGCGGCTTAAAAAGCAATAATTATTAAAGCTTAATGTGTTCCTGAGAAATGGGACTCAAAGCACTCTAATAGCCTAGTTTATGAAAAAGCAATTATTTGTCACTTCACTTTTGATAATTTGAAAAAGATTCTTGTAATCTTGGTTTCTTCATCCACTTTAATCCAGGGATAGAGACAGGAAGTTCCAAAAACAGGAAACAGATGACATCCGACATGTTGGATGGAATGAGAAAAAAGGAATAAAGTCCGGAAGTGTTGAAGATATCCTTGAACTTCTAGATGATGTTCCCCTAGAGCTTGAACGAGAGAGAAGACAAGGACGGCAGAATCCTGCTCCAGCAATTAACCAAAACCAAGGATCTCCAGATGGGTGTACTACAACAGGTAAAATATGACTGGGAATATTCAATACAAGTCATTTCCCTTATTTTCAAAATATCTTCGTTGTCTATGAAATGTCCTGTTCATGAAATGTCTTATCTTAAAAATGTTCTGTCAAAGAAATGTCTGTCTATGAAATGTACATAATTGAAATTTAGCCAGTATTTGAGAAAATTGTCGAACAAAAAAGGTTTCTATTACTTGAAGAAAAAATCAAATGTTAAGGATATGATACACGAACAAGAGATGACTGCCAAGAGGTTTTTGATACAGTTTGTACAACTGTACAGGTCACAAAGTATAGAACAGAGATAGATCAACAGTGCAAAACAAAGGTATAAATGTCAATCTGATTTAATTCAATATTGAAAGAACCGATTACTTTTTAGGGGCGTACGCAGCTCTTTTAATATTACATCTGCTTGCATTTCCCTACAAGGCTTTGAAACCTGGCCCGTTTAAATACTGATATTCTGGATCGATAGTATTTCAAACGAAAAAATAATGAAAAGTTTTGTTGGAAAAAAACCAAACATTCTTGATTTTGGAGGTAGTATTTTTAAGCTTTTCATTATCTTTTTAAAAAAATCATTTTGTAAATTTCTTTTTTCATTTCTTTAAAGTTCACAAACCTACAAAGCAGTTTAATTAATATAGAATCATTTCAATTGAGAGGTTTAAAGTGACTGCAGACATAATTTCAATTTTGATTTACAACAATACCCTTCAAAGCTTTGTCTGATCAAGTATTGCATTAAATATCCTTGTTTTACATTCTGAAAATTCATTACTTTCATTAGTGGTACATCGGAGGTCACTTGAAATTATGCATGTTTTTTATTTTAGTATAATTACATCGTATAATAAAAAATACTTTAAAAACTAACTTTTGCCCTTAACTAAAAAAGTTTCATTGGAAAGCTTTAATCAATACTGCCTTCAGTGTAAATATATATTTCATAAAATAATTTATAGTACAACCAGAGTATTAAGAGGGAGTTTCTGATGAGTCCACTTACGAGAATTATATAAATAATTTATTATCACTTGTATATGGAAGGGTGTATATGATTGAATAGTTTACATAATTATATTGATGTTTTTTTTAAAGGGGTTTTTAAGGGTGGGCACAATGTTGCCTAGAGGGGGCACAAAGCAATTTTTACGCGCTGATGCGCGCAAAATGTGCCCCCTCTTACACAAATGCTCTCGTACGCCCCTGTAATATTTTTGATTAATTGTTTCATACAAATTCATCAAAAGTAATTCATTCTTGCATATGACTTATATAATTATATACTAGCTTGAAAACACATTGCTTTGTTGGAGTTTTCCCATTAAAAGTCAATCCACCAATAAGAACTTTTCATCCAAGCTATGAATATTCCCGCAGTTCTACCAAGTTTCCCCATAAACCTGAGTCATGATCAGACATCCCAACAAACAAACAGAGATTTACGACTATATACATTTTTCATAATTTTAGATAGATCAGCAGTGCAGACCAGTTGAAACATCAGTCCCGAAACAAGAATGCCAGGAGAGACTTGAGAAAAGGTTAACAAAAATAAGTTATTCGCTGGATGATATCAATTCTAATTCCAGAATTTATTTGATCTGCTCTTCCCCTAAAATGGTAAATAAATATAATCTAATTCTCATTAATTTAAAGGTGTGAGACTGATTATGAGCTTGTAGATGAGGAAACCTACACCGAAGAGTGCCATGAGTCAGTTAAGCATGTCTGTGAGAAGCATATAGAGGTTCCTGTTAAAGTTCCAGTCAGAGTACCTGTACCAATAAAAGTTCCATATCCTGAGTACGTTTTTTCAACCCCAGCAGAACCTTATCAAGCTCCTCCTAAACATAAGAATAAAAATTACGTTCCAACACCAACTCCAGGACCATTCTATTCAACAACACCATATTCTTCACATACAACACCAACTCCAGGACCATTCTATTCAACAACACCATATTCTTCACATACAACACCAACTCCAGGACCATTCTATTCAACAACACCATATTCTTCACATACACCACCTTTCCCCCCTCATTCAAATCCTGATGGTAGAAACCTTCCTGAACAAACTGATTATTCAAATAATCAACATTTAAATCCAGTTCCAGCAGTTCCTAACCATCCTACTCCAAATCTTAGCTACCAGCATTCTACCACACCTTCACCGTCTGATTACTATCATACCACCCCTTTACCAACATATATACATCATTCAACTCCATCCCCTCCACATCCATCTACAGTGAAATCTCTTCCAAAATCTAGATTGGACTCACATAGATCTAGTCTTGTCCATAGGTTTAATAGTCAACTAAAGAGGGAGATTACCTTTGACCACTTTGATGCAACACCAGTAGATCAGGATCAAGACAAGAAGAGCAGGAAGAAGCGTGAAGGAGACCCTATTTCTTCTCCTGATCCAGAATCAGAACCTGGACCTCAATTCAGCAACGTCCTTCAGCACTCACTAGCTAACAATAATCGAGGAGCATTCTCAAATACCCTTTCAGGTTCCGTTGGAGGACTATTTGGACTTTCTAGCAGCAGAGGTGGCCCACAATCTACATCATTCACCAATCAAATATCAGAGATCCAGACCCCTCTGTCTGGGTTATCTGATTCAGAATTAGAACATGTTCTCGGTGGAACTATAGACCTTGAAGGGATACAAACTAGGGGACTTGGCGAACCTATCATTTCAACATTAAATGCTGGAGAACCAAACAATGAAAATGTAAGACAAGCTGTAATGGAGCTATTAGCCCGTGATCCCCAACTAGTTGCTGCACTAAATAATCTCAATTTGGATGCAAACTCTGCAACAGTTACTCCAGCAGAAACCTTTCGTGGCTCTGTAATTTTTCCAAGTCCAACCACACCCTTGCCGTCATTACATCAACATCATGAACCTTTAGGAGGTGTTCTGCACGGAGGAAAACTTCATCATCATGATCCTAGAACAATTCTAGCAGATGTGACAGGACATCATATCCATCAACTATCTCCTGTCTTGCCAGATCATCATTCACTACCATTGTCAACTATCCAACCAGGAACAAATAAATATCTTTCCAAACCACATGACTATACACATTCGCATGGTGATCAACATCATCATGAACATCCTCATGGTCACATTAACAAATACAAGCCTAGTCCCGAGCTGCTTCTTCTGGAACATCCAGTTGGGCATAAAGAGCATAGTGTAACCCATCATGAGCTTCCAGCACCCCCAGGATGCCGGTCAGTTGTCACAAAGGAGTGCAGAAAGGTAATTGTCAGATCAAATTAAATGGACTGAAGACACAATTTGAAGTGACCGCCCATTTGTAGAGTTGCATGTCTTGTTCACAATGGTTCCCTTTAAACCTTTATCACATCATGAGACAGGCATGGATTTCCTTATGTGTCTATGGCTGAAAGATGAATGCTGGAAAATTCAAGTGAACACTTCATCTAAGTGTCCTGCTAATTAGGTTTCAGCAATAAAATTAAGGATATCTATTAAATTCTTGGTCAGAGAAACATGAAAGTTTACAAATAGAGAGCCATTTGTAATTAAATCTGCAGTCCCATTAACAAAGATTATCTTTATTCATAGTTACATGGTTTTCTGTTTCAGGTTCCTGTTATAAAACAGAAGAAAGTTCCTGTGAATAAGTGCAGAGAGGTACCTGCTGTTGACTGTTTCTTTGTTCTCAAGAAAATCCCTGATATAGGAACCTTGGATTTGATTAAAAAACAGAAGAATGCAAACAAAAATATTTGTGAATAAAAACGATCCCTTTTTCCAAGTTTTTTTGTTACTGAATTTTAGCTTTTGGGTAAAAGACATGATTCAGAGGAAAAAAAATGTAAAAAAAAAAATCGAAAAGAAGTTTGCTTTTTATGTCTGAATATTTTCTTTTTGTACTCAAAGCTTTAACAACTGTCGAAATGTTTGTTTTGTGAGTTTTTTTACTCTCAGAAAATGAAACAAAATCAAAATTTAAATAAATCAATTTACATTTTTCTGGAAATGAAAAATATTAAGACAAATAATATGGTGTAAATAGGGTAAAGGAATTGAGTCTTTGTCGTAGACCTTTAATATTTTAAATTATGATTTCTGTTAGCTAAATAAAAGTTTGAAATATGAAAGGTGTAACATCAGGTTGCAAAAATATAGGGATGAGAAAATTTTAGATCATTTCCAAACATCTAAACTAATTTTATTCTAAATATAAATCCTTGTTTTGGCAGAATGTTCTCCGTCCTCCTATCAGGATTGTAATGATGTTGTGAAAGAGGTTCCCTACCTGGCTCCTGAAGAACAGTGTGAAGAAGTTCCATACGAGGAGTGTGTAGAGGTAGGACTAAAATAAAAATAAACCAACATTTTTCTGAAAATTCCATTTGAAAGTATCAATATACAATTGTTTGTTATGATGAATAGCAATTTCTAGGTGAAAACTGCCGTGACCAAAATAGGATAAATGATATTTGTCTCCAGAAATTTTAGATTTTCGTAAAATTTTGAAAATCCATGAAAAAAATTGTAAATCCGCAAAAATATTTTTCACTGCTGGTAACCGATATTATTCTGAACATGACGTTTAGAATTATCTAATTTAATAAATATACGTACAATGATATCAATAGTAACTGTAACCATAATTTCAAATGGCCCTTCATTTACAAAATGCCCTCTACGATTTACAGAGGTACCCTTTAAAACTCTAGTTGACAGTAATTTAAAACATGTTTAACTCTGACCATTTTTTTCACTGTCTCTGCAGCATAAATCCTCAAATCATTTTACTCAGAAACCACAACGGACAATGTTGTGAATCGGTCATGCGCCTCTAAAAAAAGGGTCTGCGGTCTCTTTAAACTTGACTGTTTAGGGTTACAAATCTAATAATAAATTCAATAAAAATTGCTCCATACAATCTTCATATTATTATCTTTAGCCCTGAATCAAGGCTTTTCCTTATAGATTAGTTTCTAACCTAGATCGAGGAGCAGGTTCCAATCCTAGTCTGCACTCAAGTTGATAATCAACGGGAAGTTATCACTACTAACGTGGGTAACAGATACAGGTATTTATCACTGCTGCAGATATAATTGCTCGAAACGTGATTGATTGAAAAATAAGTGACTAAAATTGTCACATTGAAGTCTAATAATTACTAAAAAAAAAAACTATAAAAACTTTAGTTAAAATAAAACACACACAAAAATTGAAATAAAATCTTTAATGTTTTAGGCGGTCGTAATTAAATGATATTATCTAAAATCCAAATTGTTTAATCGTCATCTAATAGTAGTCAACTCACACTGCAGAATAGTTGTTTAAATAAGCATAAAATCATTTTACGAAGAACTGTTAAAATGTCAAAAAAAAGATATTTTCATTTCCGGAATTTCAAATTTTGCAGAAATGAAGGTTCCAGTCGAGTTGGAGGAGCTGGTAGGATAGGAGGAGGAGGTGGAGCTGGTAGGAGTGGAGGAGGAGGAGGGAGCAGGGCCAGAGGATCAAGTAGAGGTAGAGGATCCACAGGTATACCAAACCAAACAAAACGTTATTGAATTAATTGCTTGATTAATTCATAAATGCTCTTGAAACCTTCATTATACGGGGAAAGACTTAAAACTTAAAACTGAAATTACCGATATTTATCATTTTATGAGATGCTCCTCCCCCCCCCTGTTGGTTTCTCGTAGCTTATAATACTCAACTTGTATATATAAAATTCTTGCATCTACTCCATTTTCATGTAGCCACTTTTGCTCTAGACTCTTGACTAAATTTTCGCTTTAATATTTAAAAACTAACCTTTTTGAATGGCCTGAAAGAAAAACTAAAATAAATTGGAATCCTTTTCTCCGAGTACAGGACGAAGAGAAGGACGAAGTTTAGTTCTAGCTGACGATTTGGAGGCAGAAGAAAAAAAAGATAATCTGGATCAATTGAGGTGATTAAAACAGATAAGTATATAACTGATTAGAAATATATTGATAATTAATAATTGTTGTTGTAATATCAATGATCTTCTATTAAAAAAAATCATAATTTTGAAGACATTTTCGTTTTTCGAGCTTAAAAAAAATAATCAATCTTATAAAGATAAGAGGATGGATATTTTATACATTTCAGATCCGACAAATCTTTGTGAATTTTATTGACTACTTTTTAAATGCATTAAAGGCATTTGAAAATACATCTACATTCTACATTCCCTTTAATAAAGTATATCTCAAAGTTTATCTCATGCATAGAGGTAGTTCTGAAATCTAGACAACTAGGCTTCATCTCCTTTTTCAACTTTTAATTATGGCTTTATCTCTGAGCATCTTCTCATTGTACAAAAACAAAAAAAAACGTTTGCGGATTTCATAATATTTTTTCGCACATTAAAGATTTTAAAAAAATAAAAACTGTAGACAGTTTTTTAAATGTTGATCATTCATAAACCTTCCCTGGGGTCACGTGAGGTCCCACACAAAATTCGGGCCCGATCGGTTCTGCCGTTTTGACGGTTATTGAATACAAACAGTCAGACAAGCTAAATTTAGATATAGATATACAACCCCATTCATGATGTATATCAAATTATAGATTTTAGTCGAGATCGATTTCAATTTTATCAAATCATGGCATTAACAAACTAATTGTCAAATAAAGGCTCCCTTTCTTATTTTCCAGCTTCCGGCTTTCTTGTTTTATATCCTTCATTAAAGTCACTAAACTATTAACTATCTGTAAAAAATTAGATTTATCTTTTTAAATCGCCATCGAGGGGGGGGGGAGTTGTAGGGGCAATGATCCTTGTGATGGAGGGGGTAGTTACCCCCAATACCCCCCCCCTAACTACGCCTATGAGCTCTTGGTTAGAATCTTTATCATCAAAACAAATCAAATTAAGTTTGAGGAAAAAACTGAAATTCTTTCAATTTGAAGAGTTACAAGTACTGTCTAACCTTCGTAAGGCATTTATTTCTCTTGTCCTACATTTTACTGCAGTAAAAAGACTGTTAGAATAATGAATAATGGATTTGACTTAAACTTCTAAACTATAATTTTGCAAGTTAAGGTTCAGATTTTTAATTCCTCACAATCTCAAGTCAAAGTTAAGTCGCAAAATTGTGCGTGCTTTGTAACGTTAAGTTAGTAAGGAAAGTTAAGAACTAGAGGTGGGATCTATTGTGTTATGGATATCTCGAGATCAACGCTTATTCTTTTGAACTAAATGTTTATTCGATATCCCGTGAACATACCTTAGCTTCCAATTCAAAGCTTCAGCAATTCAACAGCAGGAAATAAGTTAAAATTGTAAAATTTGGATAAAATTCTGAGTATATTTAAAGATGCCCACTGCGGATATCGAGCTCAAACGATCCAAAGCAAAAGTTCTCAGCTCAGCGTGAATTATGAGAAATGTAGTTTATTACTTTATATTTAATGTTTGTTCTTCAGGGCTGTGCATCTGGATGGAAAAACAGAGTATTTAAGAGAAGAACGAGATCATCAGGAAAAATATTCAAATTATTAAGAAAATGTTAACTGTTAGAAAAACATGTAAAATATTGTAAAATATTTGGAAAACTTATAAATCTTAGAAAAATATTTAATACCTTAGATAAAGATATTAAATTTTTTTTGAAAATTTAAAAGAAATATTAAAATGAAATCAGAGTTTTCAAGAAACCTGCGTTGACTAAAAACTCTGCAGTGAGCAAAGATATCTTAAAAATCGAAATTTTCTTTGATTTTAAGATAAAAAGGTTAATTGAATGCATCCCCCAAAAATTCAAATCTATTCAAATTTTATTTTTAAAAAACCTCCATTTTCATGAATATTTTTAAAGGAGGAGGAGGAAGGTGATAAGAAACCCATAAGTTTTCCAAACTGAGATGAAATCCAATCAAGATTTTGTACATCTAGTCATCGTTATATATTTAATAAAATAACCATTCGAATAAGTGTATCCGAGTTTTAATCTTGACTCTTGAGACATGTATATTGTATAAAGATGTGCGGACATCAATAAAAAATTCCTAACATATTGGAGCGAAAGAAACATTTTTATGTTGAAAATGTTTAATTTTTGTGTACTGACCTGACCGCTTACAAGGTTCTAGTTAATACAAAACAAACAGAAAAATTTTCAACGTCTTTATAATCAACAACTATTTACAAAAACCACTTTCGATTCCCTTAAACAATTAAAACCTTAAATAGATGGCAGAACTGTTTTTTTTCACTCTGAATCTGAAATTAAGACCTATCTTGGTCATTTTCATCTTTGTTTGATCAAATTCTACACATCACAAAAACAATTTTAAAAACTGGATGATTTGAGAACAAATACACTTAATGATTACATAAAAGCATAAATTTGAAAGCATATCACAGTACATTAGAAAGCAATGTAAATTTCTTGTTCTGAATGTATATTTGTAGTTATTATATCAAAATAATAAGAGTATAAAATCACAAAATGTTTCTATTAATAAAACTAGACAGAAAATATAAAAGAGAAAAATTATCTGACTTGTCTGCACTTTTAACAAGATGTGAGTTACATTTAAGCCCAAAGTAAATTTTTAATCCGGGATCAACCACTGATTCAGGTTTAAAAACTCGCAAAAACGTTCAGTTATATTAGCATATTATTGTGACATGTTCAGGGTTNATGAAGATTGAAATTAGTCTTCTGTCTGGAATAAAGTCTTTTTAAAGTAGATGAAATAATTTGGCAGCTAAAGCTACAGGGATTGCTTTAGTGAAAAAACTAATTTTTTTTTAAACAGTCGTCTGTTAAGTCTCAACCCTTGCACACATTTTCCCTTTTACATTTTTTGAGATCAGAAAATTAACATAATCTTTTAGTTTTAAGGCAAGTGTTGACATCGACAAACCTAAGTAATAGAATGTAACGAAAAAATCTAGTGAACCCCACCCTGCAAATACTATTAGTGGAAACATAACAAATTTTAGAATACGAAAAAGTTCTTTTACTTTTACTGTTAACAAAAAATCACTGCCGCTGTCAGAGGTTTTAAAGAACTGACCCATTTAAACGGAAAATAACAATAAGCAATCATGTTATTAAAAAATATGACTTAAATGTTGATGAGTTTAAGTCAAACTAACGATTAGGATTATTTTCATATCAAGGACAGATTCCAACTTTTTTATGTTTAAAACTACAAGGTTCAATATATGACAAAAACAGCACGAAAATAATTTGAAATATATAATCAAAAAAACTAATTCACAAAAAGTGATTTAAATGGAGTACAATATCCATTTATTGAATGAAAATTATAAACAAAAAGTTTGAACTTTGAACTTAAGGGTTCGAATGGATAACACAACACTCCACTGCGGCAGAGAGAGATGGTTTCTAGTTCAACCCTTGGCGTACTTATCAATATAGTCTCTAACTTTAGATTTAAACCCCAGCTGATCTGCTTGGAAATGTTCGGCGGCCTCCAGGTTCAGCGGATCGTCGAAATTGAGCAAATCGTCGAAAAGAGAATAAAGGCCCCACACTACATCTTTAATACGGCGAGTGGGGGCCCATCCATGTCCGTCAACTAATATTACAATCACAATTTTAAATAAAAGGTATACTTTTATATTCTATTTTTTTAAGGAAATTGAAAAGTTTTTGCAAAAAATTGATTTTTTTGACACAGATGAAATTTTGATTGTTGCATCCCTGAGTTTTGTCTGAGTAAAGAGAGACATATTTCTCCGTCCTCATTTATGTTCGGATGCCAGAGTTTTGTTAAACATTTTACTTCAGGAGGAGACATATTGTAATCCAAGGGTACCTAGAAATTTGTTTCAGTTTAAATAAAATAATAAAAGGATGAACGTTTAAAGAAAGAAAGAAAGAAAGAAAATAAGAAAGAAAGAAAGAAAGCAATAAAGAAAGAAAGAATGAAAGAATGTAAGAATGAAAGAATGAAAGGATGAAAGGATGAAAGAATGAAAGAATAAAAGAATGAAAGAATGAAATAATAATAGGATGAAAGGATGAAAGAATGAAAGAGTGAAAGGATGAAAGAATGAAAGAATGAGGATGAAAGGATGAAAGGATGAAAGAATGAAAGAATGAAAGAATGAAATAATGAAAGAATGAAATAATAATAGGATGAAAGAATGAAAGAATGAAAGAATGAAAGAATGAAAGAATGAAAGAATGAATAATAGGATGAAAGAATGAAAGAATGAAAGAATGACATAATGAAAGAATGAAAGAATGAAAGAAATAAAGAATGAAAGAATGAAAGAATGAAAGAATGAAAGAATGAAAGAATGAAAGAATGAAAGAATGAAAGGATGAAAGAATGAAAGAATGAAAGAATGAAAGAATGAAAGAATGAAAGAATGAAATAATAATAGGATTAAAGAATAATAGGATGAAAGAATGAAAGAATGAAAGGATGAAAGGATGAAAGAATGGAAGAATGAAAATGACATAATAATAGGTTGAAAGAATAAAAGGATGAAAGAATGAAAGAATGAAAGAGTGAAAGAATGAAAGAATGAAATAATAATAGGATGAAAAAATGAAAGAATGACAGAATGACAGAATGAAAGAATGAAAGAATGAAAGATGACAGAATGAAAGAATGAAATAATAATAGGATGAAAGAATAATAGGATGAAAGAATGAAAGAATGAAAGGATGAAAGGATGAAAGGATGAAAGAATGAAAGAATGAAAGAATGAAAATGACATAATAAGAGGATGAAAGAATAATAGGATGAAAGAATTATAGGATGAAAGAATGAAAGAATGAAAGAGTGAAAGAATGAAAGAATGAAATAATAATAGGATGAAAGAATGAAAGAATGAAAGAATGAAAGAATGAAAGAATGAAAGAATGATGAAATAATAATAGGATGAAAGAATAATAGGATGAAAGAATGAAAGAATGAATTAAATAATAATAGGATGAAAGAATAATAGGATGAAAGAATGAAAGAATGAAAGAATGGAAGAATGAAAGAATTGAAAGGATGAAAGGATTGACAGGATTAAAAGGATGAAAGGATTGAAAGGATGAAAGGATGAAAGGATGAAAGGATGAAAGGATGAAAGGAATTAAAGGATGAAAGGATTGAAAGGTTAAAAGATAAAACCAACCTTGACATGGAAGATAAATACTCCTCCTGTATATAATCCTTCGTCGGGAGAAATACAAACCAGGAAATCATGGAGACGGTTTGGATCTTCGAACCGAACCTTTAACAGGAAATATATATACAAGGATAGAAGATTATCTACAAATCAAACCTTGAACAGGAAACCTATATGATTGAATAGAAGATTTATATCTTTACAAACCTTGAACAAGAAATATATATGAATGGATACAAGGTTTGGATATTCGAATAAAACCTTAAATAGGAAACCTATATGAATAGATAGAAGGTTTAGATCTTCAAATCGAACCTTGAACAGGAAACCTATATGAATGGATAGAAGGTTTAGATCTTCAAATCGAACCTTGAACAGGAAATATATATTAATGGATAGAAGGTTTGGATCTTCTAATAAAACCTTAAACACGAAATATATATGAATGGGTAGAAGGTTCAGATCTTCAAATAGAGCTATGAGCAGGAAAAATAAATGAATGGATAGAAGTTTTGGGTCTTCAAATCTACCCTAGAACAGGAATACGTGTGAATGGAACTAGGGTTCGTATCTTAAAATCACTCTTTGAACAGGAAATATATACGAAGGTATGTAAGATTTGGATCTTAAAGCGTAATTTTAATTGACCCTTCAAGCAAAGATGGCAATGTCCGATATACAACGGTACCATTGAAACCTTTATCTGATCAAAATGTAGGAGATACTGTCGTTTTGCCGACTGGAAAAGATAAAACTTTAATTCTGATCATCTCTCCATTGCTTCTTATGTGCAAGAATTGCGCTAATCACTTTCGCAGAGAACCCGCAAATAAAAATAAACAGTTTTAAGAAAGAAAAACATTAATCTAATTAAAACTTGATAAAACTTTAAAGGGTACCGGTGTAAAAGCACAGGCAGGCATCTTTGTATGAAGGGACTCTCGAAATTATAATCAATGAAAAGAAAAATGTAAAATGTTGGGACAAAAATCTTGTAAGATAATCTTACCGTGCAGTCTCTTGGTAAATTTTGTTCCATCTCTTGAACCTTAAACAATAAAATATAATAATTTGTGTCATATTTAATGAAAACATTATGTATTTTTTAAAAATTCATAAGTAAACACAATCTTAAGAATTTAGAGAATTAAAAAAATGTTGTTAATATTTTTTAAAGTAATTTTTAAGATATATAAATCAGTGCGGAAAATCGTCATTGCATTCCATAATATTTTGATCAAACTTGTTAAGAATAAGAATAAACATGACTCCGGATGCCGCGATATGAATAGTTCAGAAAAAATTGGTCTCAATAAAAAGCTGAAATTATGTTTGTACTACTCTAAAAACCAATAAATCACGTTGACAAAACTCCCCAAGTCGGGTCTTACTTCACAAGATAAGAGTTTATTAGACTAACCTACAGATCGTTGTACTTAGTCTGCAGGTTGATTGTTCATAATAATAATAATAAGTATTCAAATTACGGCCTCAGAGGACTTGCATCATATCAAATAAAATAAAATTATACTTTACAGGGATTGCTGAAGACATCCTTTCAATTCTTACCCAAACTCCAGTTTTAGACCGATCTTTACAACAAATTTGTTATTTGCTTTACTTTTACTGTGAGCAATGAGAATTCTGAGACAACGCGTACAGAAAGTGTTCAATCAAAAAAATTGTTTACTAAGGTTGTAAAGATACCAGCACACGACCAAATTTAAGCCATAAAAAGTAAATATGAATCATGAAAGGTAGATAAACAAGAGTTTAGAAAATAAATGGGTTTTACCTCCTTTATTAGAAGTTTATCTCGAATTGAAACTCGAGAAATATCTTTCTTGGTGTCATTTAAACTCTTCTCGGATTTAAGCCTGAATATCATAAAGATTCGAAACAAACTCGTGACAGTTAAATATACAAATTACTAAGTCATAACGATCAAAATAATTACCGCTGAAATAATTATTGATTTTAATAATTGTCTGTAGGTTGATTGTTAATAATAATAATAATAATAATAATAACTTATCATGCAAGGTTACCCACAAAGGACGAGACTTCAGTGGCGATAGTACGGAATTTATCGTGAACTATGACAAATTATTGAATTAGTCTTTAAAAGACTATTTTTCAAGACTAAAGACTGAATGTAATCGTAAGATCTCATATCTGAACAGTCTCATCCCTAGCGGGTAACCCTATAGAAAATAGTTTTTTATTTAAAATGACAGAAACAAATCTCAAGATCCGAAGAAATTTATTTTCAACAAAATGTGGAGATAAAATCTGTGCTTTATTTACATTATTGAGGTTTGAACCAACATTCAACACCAAAGCGATATTTCTAATTAAAAGAAAGAACACAGAAGACAGTTTGTGTAAAATTAAAATTTATATAAAAGACTTCTGTAAAATGCTATATTATCATGTGTTTGAAATAAATTTGATGTGGGATACCCTACCTTTTAGTGAGGCTAATCATTGTAAATCATGAACACTGCAAGATTTGAAAATCTGAAAATAATTAAATATGGACAATAAGACATATATAGACTATACAGTATACACTATACAGGTTTAATGGATGCATCTGCAGCAGGTTTTATTAAATCACAAGATTACAACTTTAAAATTATATTCAGTCAAGAAATAAAACCTGCCAAGGCTGCAACTACTAAATATCACGTGACATAAATAATTCAGTGATCTTAAATTTCCTTTTAAAAGTTTGGTCTTTTCTGTCGATACCAAGATGAAGATATAGAGTTGGTCCAAACTCATTCTTAGAAAGCAAAGTTATAAAATTGGAAAGATACACAATGGTGCTCATACAAAGTTACACTGTGCACATTATTTGTTTTTTTTTCTCTCTTAACAATTTTACAAGAATTTTTTTACATTTACAACTATATCAACACTTATTAAAATTTATTAAAAACTGAAAGAAGGAATCCGTGATTCATGATCACTCAGATTCTTGTTGGTCCACGGTTCGAGGTCCAATTGAACCGGTATCCATGGTCCATTGTTGGTGGTTTGATAATCTTTATCCGAGAACAGTATTAAGTAAGAAAACTTTTCACTCAATAAAATTCCACCATTTTTTAAATCTAAGAAATCAAAAATTTACTAAACATTTCATCAACAATTGCCCCTTGCATTTTTTAAGGTTAAAGGGACGCACATTGCTTAAACAGGGTTTTCCTCGAGTTTCTACTTTAAAGTTTTACCGCAGGTGAAATGTTGGAAAACACCCGAGAATTGAGATACGGTTTAAAATGCAGATTTAACAAAAATTTATTAATATTAGATTTTGTTAATTTGTTGCATTTTATGCCATGTCCTAAATAAACTAAATTCCATGATGAACTCCGTCTTGTGGATTTATTTATTTCTATCCTTCTGAGTCTGCTTCCATTGCTTGATCTTCTCCTTAAGCTCGGTTGCAGGGATCAGTTGGTCCTCGGTCAACGGCTGCCGGTTAAACGGGTCATTTGGGGTCGACAACAAGTGCCTGCATATAGAGATCAATAACGAGATTTTTAAAAAATGGTTTATTACTTAATATTTTTTATTTTTATATGATGCAGGTGTATTCTTTAAGAATATTCATTTCTGAATTTAGAGAATTCATAATAATGAAGACGAAATTTTCATATTTTCCAAAAATGTTTGAAAATCCAGCTCCAGCCGTAAAACGTTGCATAAAATTATGTAATGTAAACTAAATTCGAAAAAAACTAATTAAATCCGGAATTTCTGAATTATAATATCTAAATGATCAGTTTTAAACTTAATATAATTGATTGAAGGAAATGTTACCTTATAATATTCTTTCTATCCATAATCTTTCCACTGGTTGGTAGTATCACAGGATCCTCCATAACAGTTCCCATAATAGCATCTTCAAACTCCTACATCAATCAATCAATCAATCAAAAGAATGAATGGTTTAATCACTATGGCTTCCTAGAGAAACCATCACATCAACCCACCAAAGATCAAACCATATTTCATGTTTTTCACTTGGTTTATGTATTCTTATATAGTCTTTTTATTTACAAAGCATGAGATTTTACTATTTACTATTGGAACTCGTTTCTTACAATGCAGTTCTGATTGGTTGGCAAGAAATTAGTAACCGACTTGTAAATAATTGGATTAATGCATAAAATAAACTAACAAATCAACGATTATCAACCATCCCACTGTTATCAGTCAAACCTCAATCTAAATCTTCTCTATATTATTTTTCTGATTGTTGAAACCATAATTTTATTATATGAATATAGATGGTCTAACCTCTGGTACGTTCTCCCAATCATCTTCCTGTTTCATCTTCTCTATTACCATCTTGTTCGCCTTCTCATACAATGCTCTAAACATAACATATATAAATATAGAATTACAAAAAGAACCAGATTTTATCTTTTCAGGATTGTTAAGGAAAAGGTTCTGGGTTTTATCTCAAAGGATGAGAATTCAGAACGGACTAAACGTTATTTTGTTCTGATCGAAAAACTTTATATTTCCCAAATGCAACCTCACAAAACCAACAAAAAATTAAATACAACACTAATCTAAATTATCCGAATATAGTTAATTGAAAAGGGTATAATCAGAGATAAGAGAGTTATAGAGATCGATTAACAACTATGATATGCGATATTTTCCACAGCATGTTCTATTGTGTACAAGTACTGTACACGACCAATCAGGAGACATCTGTATTCAGGGATATTTAAGGATCCTTTGAATAGGAAATGCAAAATCTTTAAAAATAGACAATATTCATAAACGTTATGTTTTATGTTTAAAATTGGAGTACTTCTTTAAAAATTGTAAAACAACCCTTGAATGCAACAAACGGCCGTGAGATGTCAGTCAAAAAACATTACATGGAACCGTAGCATGGCGTCCCTGCTCAGCCTATCCTATTCAAATATTGACCCAGTCCTCTCGTAGTTATTACGCGGAACCCTTCACATGGATTAATTGGAGAGTAAAACGGTCATAAAGGATTTAAACTGGCGGCATGAAGTACAACGACCTCTCCAATCAATTAATTTTGGTCCCAGATAAGGTTAGGGTAATATAGATATCTATTCATGGGAAGTGGATAATGTTATATTTTAGGAAGATGAGGAGGGGAGAAAACAACAATAATTCAACAATAAATTAACCATCTATCCTAGTTCTCTCATCTTACCTAAACTGATTTATATCGTTGGGATTTCTACTCAGAGTAGTTTCCATTCTTCTCACAGCGTCCTGAAAATATATCATTTTTTTATACTTTTCATCATCTTCCTAAATGAAAAAATAACATATAAAAAGGTTAAGCATAAGACATAAGACATATATAAGCACTAAGCAGTATAAAAACATCTTAACATTCCATAAAACATAAATGTACTTAAATTCTAAGATGTAAAAATCATTGTTAAGAGTTTATCATACTCTGATGGCAAAAGAGTGTTAAATCAAAAATTATTGTCCACCAATTTTTTTTACCTGAAAGGTTTCAAGTTTGAATGATCGTTCATCGTTAGCGATCGCTTTAGCCATCTTATCCCCATCAAGATGCAGATATATGTCAATAATATGAGAGAGCAACCATTTTGGTTCCCAACCATACTTTTCGGGGTTCTTCACTTTCAGGTTCTTACACTTAGGACCATTGGTCAGCTGTTCCAGGACTGCGTCCAGCATAGCGGCGAGTCGGTCAGCCAGCTCGGGCTGAAGGAAGGGATCCTGGACACCCTCGGATAGATAATGGAACATATCAACCGTTTCTCTAGATTCAAAAATGTTTCAACAAATCTCTCAAGACTTTTCAAAAACAGAATTTGAAATAAAAACAAAAAATTGAATTTCAATTTGGAAAAGATTTGAATTATTAGTAAAGTTTTGGAAGTTTTTTATATTTCTAAATGTAAGAATAAAATATATTTGAATCCCTGGCTAGTGTGAGATAGCTCCGGCATTGTCTTTCATCTTGGTTTAACTGTCTATGACGACTAGATTGGGTTTCCTACAAAGTACAAAATATCATTTATCATGATTTTAAATTTAATATAACAATGTATTGTGTATGTGTTGTTGTATCTTGTATATTTGTTGTATCTTGTATATTTGATGTATCTTGTATATTTGTTGTATCTTGTATATTTCTTGTATCTTGTATATTTGTTGTATCTTGTATATTTGATGTATCTTGTATATTTGTTGTATCTTGTATATTTTTTGTATCTTGTATATTTTTTGTATCTTGTATATTTGTTGTATCTTGTATATTTGTTGTATCTTGTATATTTGTTGCATCTTATATGTTTGTTGTATCTTGTACATTTGTTCTATTTGGTATACTTGTTGTATTTAGTGCGCTTGTTTTATCTTGTATGTTTGTTGTATCTAGTTTGCTTAAAGTCTTGTAAGTTTTTAGCAAGTAGTATGATTGTCGTCTCTTGGATGTTTGCTAAATCTTGTATGTTTGTTGTATCTTTTATGATTGTTGTATATTGTATATTGTAGCATTATGTAAGTTTCTTGTATCCATTATTTTCTTTGTTCCTTGGATGTTTGTTATTCCTTGTATGTTTGTAAATTAAACCGTTATTAATGTTACATCATTCTTTGAAAAATGTTTACTGTTCTTTAAAGTGATAATATTTTAGTTACTAGTTGATTTTGAACTTAAAGTTAAAAGTTGCGCCACCTAACCTGGTTTTGAGTTCGCCACTTTACAGGATCCGCCATATCCGCCTGGACCTCGTTAATCCTGGTGAGGGCGGAGAGGGACTCGTCCAGGAGGAACGTGGTGTCGTTCATCATCATGTTGATGAACCTGATAAACTGTTTACCATTCGTAGATTCTGTCTTGATCGCCATCTTAAAAGAGAAAGAATATTTTTAAACGTTAACTATAAAGAAGTAAATATGTAGCAAATAAAACAAAAAATGGAATATATTAGGGTCCCTGAAATGTAGAGAAAACTTCCACATGGACTTAGTACAGGGGACTTCCAGGACCCACATGGACTTCATGATGAGAGATGTGGTATTCTACCCTACCTTGTTAACAGGAGACTCCCACATGGACTTCATGATGAGAGATGTGGTATCCTACCCTAACTTGTGTACAGGGGACTTCCACATGGACTTCATGCTGATAGAGATGTGGTATCCTACCCTACTTTATGTACAGGGGACTACCACATGAACTTCATGGTGAGAGATGTGGTATCCTACCTACCTTGTGTACAGGGGACTCCCACATGGACTTCATGATGATAAAGATGTGGTATCCTACCCTACCTTGTGTACAGGGGACTCCCACATGGACTTCATGATGATAGAGATGTGGTATCTGATGGTAAACTTGTCGTAGAACTCATTGCTAGATCCTGTCTGCTCCACGTCGGTGTAGAATCTGAATTATCATCAATGTAAGGAAGGAAGGATGAATGAATTCAAGGCTGTATGCAAAGATGACTTTAAAGATAAAAGAATGAAATAATAAAAACAATTAATCTCATCTTAACTTAAATCAAAGCAAAACAAATAAAAAAGTCAATAAAATTATATTAAAAATATAAAATTAAATCTAAAATAATAAATAATTGAGAATTTTTACCTCATAAGAGCACTAGGCAAAAACTCTTCGCAAATAGGGTGCGACATTATCCTAAAAAAGTACAAATTAGAAAAAGAAAGTAATCTAAGTAAGTAATTCTACGGAATCGTGACTGACTCTTTGTGTCGTAATTATGCTCTTCAGTATTCAGCAGCAAAAGGTTCCAATTTACTTCATCAACTATTCATAATTATTAAGGAATGGAAAAAAGGCAGTTTCTTATCAATATAACAGAGGAGATTAACATTTCTTGAAGTGGGTAAATTCTTATAATAATCTTAACAACTGGGACGAAATAATGGCAATGCATGAACCGTAAAGTGACATTTGTTTGTATTTTTTATATTTCTTTATATTTCTTTATATTTCTTTATATTTCTTTATATTTCTTTGTATTTCTTTGTATTTCTTTGTATTTCTTTGTATTTCTTTGTATTTCTTTGTATTTCTTTGTATTTCTTTGTATTTCTTTGTATTTCTTTGTATTTCTTTGTATTTCTTTGTATTTCTTTGTATTTCTTTGTATTTCTTTGTATTTCTTTGTATTTCTTTGTATTTCTTTGTATTTCTTTGTATTTCTTTGTATTTCTTTGTATTTCTTTGTATTTCTTTGTATTTCTTTGTATTTCTTTGTATTTCTTTGTATTTCTTTGTATTTCTTTGTATTTCTTTGTATCTCTTTGTATCTCTTTGTATCTCTTTGTATCTCTTTGTATCTCTTTGTATCTCTTTGTATCTCTTTGTATTTCTTTGTATTTCTTTGTATCTGTTTGTATTTGTTTGTGTTTGTTTGTGTTTGTTTGTGTTTGTTTGTGTTTGTTTGTGTTTGTTTGTGTTTGTTTGTACTTGTTTGTACTTGTTTGTAGTTGTTTGTAGTTGTTTGTAGTTGTTTGTAGTCGGTTGTAGTTGTTTGTATTTGTTTGTATTTGTTTGTATTTGTTTGTATTTGTTTGTATCTGTTTGTATTTGTTTGTTTTTGTTTGTTTGTGTTTGTATTTGTTTGTATTTGTTTGTATTTGTTTGTATTTGTTTGTATTTGTTTGTATTTGTTTGTATTTGTTTGTATTTGTTTGTATTTGTTTATATTTGTTACTACCTGGTATAAACTTCTGTAGTTCTCTCTTGTACTGCAGGATTCACAACAAATAGAACCTCAACCAGTTTACTCACAAGATAAGGATTAGAAAAATACTAAACAATAAACCATTTACATATATTTAGAGAATATGTGACATTGTGACATGACATCAATTCTTCAGAAAAACATCAAGAAATGTTCACATATTAAATTAAACTACAAAATTGATCTGCAGTGTCTCACCAAAATGTAAATAAACTCTATAAAACTACCAAATGCGTTTGTTACTATTCCATTTAAAATATATTAGAATTTTCCAGGATAAATTTTAAGAAGAATCCTGTTTTTAAAGATGTTTTGGCGTGTCTTTGCCAGTATTTTATGTGTCCAAAATTTTTTATTGAGAAACTTTTAAAAATGGTTTAATTTTCCTGTGGATGACAGAGGATAGTAAGAAGCCAGGTGAGGAATATATCATCCAGACAGTTGGATACTACCCAGGGTAGAAACTAAACAGAAGTTGTGTTTCAGAAAAAAAGATATTAGATCAGAAAGTTAGCCTCCAAAACAAATAATGGAGATACCCCTGGAGGCGTGGCAGGATTAAGTCCAGAGGTGTATATTATCACAAACCTGAAGCAAGAGCAGAAACCGTCACAAATCCAATTCAATTAAATGCTGTAGGACGAATTTTAATGCACATCAGTACTGGTTATAAGGGGCTCAGAAATAAAGAAATTATTTTGACTGAGTTTTAGATTGGGGATTTAATTGTGCATAACCCTGAACATTGTGTTACGCATATTCGACGATCTGATGATTGATTTGATAACTGGTAAATCTTGTTTTTTTCTGTTTACCTGGACACCGAACAGTAGGAAATCCGCCATATCGTCAACAATCCACTCCGGGAGTAGTTTGAACAGTAATTCAGGTTCTGCAGAGAGCGGGAGCTTAGGCTGGTGGGGATTCACAGGCTCCAATAACCTTTTAAAAATGATTCTTTAAAAAAAATAAGCAATAAAAGTTAAGGGAAATAAGGAGGAAGATAAATATAAATTACTGAAAACAAGATGTCGACCAAGATGGCGGAGGGAACAAGATGGAGGATTATCAAAAATGGACTTAAATGGAAACAAGATGGCGGATAATAAAAATGAATGCAAACAAAATAGCAGATTTAAACCAAAATGGTTGAAAACAAGATTGCGGATGTAAACCAAAAAGGTTGAAATCAAGATGGCGGTTTACAAAAAGTAAGGAAAACTTTTTTAAATGGGGAAAATAATGTTAAAATTTTACCTGAGCATGTGCAACGCAGCGCTGGAGTAGAAACTCATACATCTAAAGAAAAACATTTTAGCAAATACTTAATGTTATCTTTTTACAGGACATTTTAACCTGTAAACTAAGGCGATCCTTGGATTGATATTACCTGGTAAACAGCGCATCATCCAGGAGTCCAATATCTGAGCAGGATTTAGATCTTGAATGCTTCTTGATTTGAGACTTCAGCTTCTGTAAACATAAATATAATCCCCTAGGGTCTAAAATATTGAAACTTGTACTTCTAGAAGACAGTTTATGGTCCCGGATTAGATTTTTTTTTATCATCCCGGTTGGCCGCTGGGTGTTATTATATACTTTTTGACATGCATGTAATAATTCTAAGATTGAGATTGAATTTCTAACTTCCACATTTCTTATACGTTTCTTGTTCATCGTTTGTTGAGGTCATTAGAAATATGAATAAACAATATTAAGTTATAAATATCCCACCTTGATATGGGCTCTGTTCCTGGCGGCATCTAGCGGCATATTCTTCCACGTGGATTCAGATTTCTCCAGGTCTTCAACCATCTTCTGTAGGTCGCGCAGGTGCCGAAGACGGCGTTGATACCGACGAATAATTGGTAAAATTCCTGAAAATCATGAATACTTTAGACGGCAATAAAGTAATTTTAATTGTACAACATTTAAGGAATTAGTTTTTAAAAAATTATTAAAGAAAATATTTTTAATTCTGGCTACTTAAAGACATTAACAATATTGGCTTTTACGTATCTTCCAACACTGAAGATAAATAACTTTGATTTTTAGCAAATACAATTTTGCTGTTTGGATTTGGTTGTTTATTTGAAAAGAAGGACCGTGCTAAGGAGTAATAACAGACAAATATACCTATATGATGTGCTTGAAGTGTAAGAAACCAGCATTCTGTAGGGAAGTTTGCTTCCTTTACAGTTCCTGAGCTTACTGAACACGATGTAACAATAAATGTTAAATTTAAAATTCGGTGATGGTGATTGACCAAACCTCTGTAAAAAAGTAGATGTTAGTTCCACATTTATTGAAAATATATTTCGGTCTGGGTTGACCCTCGTCAGTTCTAACGATATAATAACCATCAAAATCAAAAAAAAAAAATTTTTTAAATCACAAGAAAATAAACAAAGAAAAAAAGATTATTCAAATAAATAACTAAATAATGCAGAGCAAGATCAACTTTTTTTTAAATGTCTAAAGAAATAGTATGTGATATTAATTGATTGAAATTGTATGGATTATGGTTTAAATATTTGTGATTTTGATAAATAAGATAAAATATATGTAATGTATTCATACTTGGGATTAACTATTTGATACTTTTAAGCAAATGTGTGATTAATTGATTAATATTTTTTAAATGTGTGATATTCTTTGATATTTTTGTTACTGTTCCTAAAGATTGAGCATATTCTTCTACTTCCTGAGTAGTAGCTTTCAGACGAGATTCATCTGTTAGCTTAATCCTAAACATTTTAATTTATCTTAAAGGGATTGGAGACTTACTTTCAAGTGAGCCTCTATTTGTAAAGTAACATATCCGATTCACCCTTTAGACCTTTCTCTGATATCTATAAAAGCGATTTACATTTATCCTTCAGAAACAACGAAGAAAGTAAACAGAATTCACCACTGTTCAGGGTGTATATTTTTCTGCTTGCCCTACCCCCCCTACTGTAAAGGTAGAAGAAGTGTGGGGGGGGGAGTATGTATTTTGTTTACATGGATCCCTGATTGTGAAATACGGATGGGGAGTAGGGAGGAAAAGTAATATTGGGTGGAGGAATAAGAGGAGGGAGGAAGTATGTTTTATGTATACCTGGACCCCTGACTGTGAAGGTAGGCAGGATCTACCTTATCCATCCTAACCTTACTGGACAAGTGCTGCATTATGGTCAGCAGGTTCAACATAAACCCATCACCTAACACAACAAATACAGGATAAAGGCTAACAGGGGATAAAAATTATATTTTAAAGGGAGTGTTCGCAACAAATAAATTGGGTTGCAGAATGAAACTGATAATTATTCTATTTTCGTCCTTTCTAGATTTCTCAACTGTTTAGCCTGGTACGGTCAGCTCAGCTGTTGATCGATACAGAATTTGATTTATATTTTTTATTTTTTTCATGCTCGCGAACACTGCCTTTAATAAATACATTTATTTTTTACTTCGAACTTTTTAAGAAATTTAATAAAATATCAATAATCAACTAATAAACTAATCAACTAAAACCTGCAATAAGTCTCTCGTTTGCCTGCAACTGTTTTCTTTTATTATTCCTGGCTAGAATCTGTGAAATATAGTTTAGCCCTGCCTCCCTTGTACTGGAGTTGGCGAGTACACCGTGTACAATGCAGTGCAGTTGGTTTCGTAGGAAATCTAGCTCAGTCTGGAACATAAACAAATAATACTTTGCAGGGATTGTCGTTGGGTCTGTCACAGAAATTCTAGGTTTATAACAAATGCGTAGGATCCGGATCTGTTGGATCCGCAAGATTTTAGCTTCCTAGATCCAGATCGGGATCCTCAAAAATATACGGATCCACAGGACAAAATAACAATAAAACCCTGTTAGAAAAAAAAAACTTAATGATTTCTAGGCAGAAGTCTCCACTGTTAACTAACAAGAGACTATTAAAATGGAAAACTTATAAGTTTCTGAATGGTTCATCAAGTTTTAGCAAGGAAAGAAGCACAAATTAAAAAATGAAAATTCTTCAATTGCTCAAAAATTCAGAAAATCTTAAGAAATATATTGTTCATGGCCTGGATCCGGATCTGGTTTTCAAGCGGTTCAACGAACCTGGATCCTGATCTGCACGAAAATGAAATGGATCTTAAGCAGCGTTTATAACTCTTCTGTACCAAGATATCCAAATTTAAACCAGGTTACCATTTTATGACACATATGATTTATAAACTACACCAACACATTTTATGCATTTCAAAAACATAAATTCATGTTGGAATTCAAGAATTATCTAATAATAAAAATGTATAATGTCAATTCTAGCGATTATACCTTTAGTTCCTTGGCAGCTGATTTAAGGAGGGGGGCAGCTGGTTTCTCCTGAAATACAAATCAATCAATCAAACACATAGTTTTCTAGTACAATCAATCAGTCAAGCAAGAAAGTAATTACCTTGAAATATTTTTCTGCGACCCCTGGGTCCTCCTCCGGGAAGACGGAAGGAGCCATGAAAGGACCAAGGAAGGATAATCCAACCATCTCCAGACCCTCAGCAGTACTCACAGGTTCAGGGAGCCACTGAGCCTGCTGGGTGAGAAGGTCACAAACAGGTCGGATACCAGTAGAGAGACGAACCTCACAGAGGTGTCGGAGAACTAGAACCGGTGGAACGTACTTCTGCTCTACCATTCGACCCTTACGCACCTCACTATAGCAACACAAAGATTATAATTCTTAAAAATTAAAACTTGGAAAACCAATTGTTTTTAAATTTGCAAAGAAAATATCTGTCTCAATTCTCTAATAAAGCCAGGAAATGATTAAAAAAAGAAAAGGGAAAAAATAAATTTCTATATTATTTCTAATTTTATATTTTTAATGAACCCCCCTCCATCCTCGCCAATCACAGCTTCAGACCTTTTCCGACCAACTTTTTGAGCAACTATTGACTGAAATCTATAAATGGTTGAACTCATACCCCATTCTAAATTCATAAACATAAATTATACATTCCGAAAAATGTATGACAGCAGAGTTTCTTCTGGAGTTTTAGGGATTAGGACTATCAACCCTCATGTATCTAGGATATTTTGTTCAGGATTTTTCTGAAGATCTGCACATCCTTAGTCAGTGACAAAAACTTCCAACGTTTACTTTAAACCTTTATGTTTCCAGGATTTATTACCAGTGGTTCTTTAAACCAAAGCTCGGATATAATTCCTAGAATAACGGAGAAGAGGGAGGGGAATGATATTAGATGCCCATTCTCTGTAAAGATTCGAGTAGATTTTCAAAACAAAATTCACTTCAAATACTTACCAGAGGCAATGTTGAAGAAGAGGACTGAATACAGCAGAAAACCGAACAGAGTCCTGGAAATTCAGATTCAAACAATATTTCTTTTTCTTCATAACTTCCGAGTACAAAAATCAATTTATCTAATTTTAGTAGAACATTTTTGTCTGTATCAAGTCGAAAAGTCGGCCCATCAGCACTCTCCTTAGTACTGAGATGTGAAGGAAAAAAATTCAGTTTTTGCTCTCAAAACAAAACCTTAAGAATAAACTAATAAAAGATGATGATATTTTTTCTACAAGGAAAACAAATAAAAATAAAAATAAGCAACAACCACAGGTACCATAAAATGGATCCTATGCACTGCTTGCTATAGCTAAAATACCCCCCCNCCCCCAAGTAAAACTGTTTAAATCCCTGATGAAGTGAATCAACAAGGTTCTCTAGAAGAGCTTGAGGAGACTCCTCTCCCACTAGTGGTTGGTAGAGAGGAGAACTAAACTGATTAGTCGGTTCATCCTGCCATCCACCCTCAGCTACCAGGCTTATATGAGTAACCAGCTGTTGTCTAAACATTTTAAAAATTTTAATAACTTACAAATGACAAGGAGTCCTATATATCGGAGAGTGGAGGTATAGTATATTTACCTAGTGGAGTCCAATATATCGGAGAGTGCAGGTACAGTATATTTACCTAGTGGAGTCCAATATATCGGCGAGTGGAGGTACAGTATATTTACCTAGTGGAGTCCAATATATCGGAGAGTGGAGTTACAGTAAATTTACCTAGTGGAGTCCAATATATCGGAGAGTGGAGGTACAGTGGCCCGTCTTCCCATAGTTGCTTCCTCTTCATAACTTCGTGAGTAACAGGAAACCAGATATTTCACAACCTGGTCAAAAATAAGATAAGTATACTATTTTTTTAAAGTTACATTTTCAACCAAATAAAGAAAAGCATAAGCAGTACTTTGTCGAGAGAAAATTGCTTATTGAGGGTAAAAATAAAATAATCAAAAACGGTAATCAAACAAAGAGGCGTACATCAATCATTCATATTTAATTATTCTTAGAACAGGGATCAGTTATTACTTTTTAAGAATAGCAAAAAGTAGTTAAACCGCATAGATTGAGTTAAATCCCTTTTCTTCAACTAGAACCGGCGTACCAGAGAAGTGGCTCAAATACCTCAACATGGTTGAACTACTTATTGCAATTCATAAAATATGAACAGAGGATCGTTAAATTGGTATATAACTTAAAATATCTTATCCAACATATGATACAAATTCTTATTTAAATCAATAACTTACTTTTTCTGGGGTTAGATTTGATGAGAGCTGAGCTATAATATCTGAGAGCAGGATAGAGATAAGATTAGCATCAGTCTCAAGATCTCCATTCTCCAGGAGTATACTAGAAATACAATAATCAGTCTCAAGATCTCCAATCTCCAGGAGTATACTAGGAATACAATAATCAGTCTCAAGATCTACAATCTCCAGGAGTATACTAGGAATACAATAATCAGTCTCAAGATCTCCATTCTCCAGGAGTATACTAGGAATACAATAATCAGTCTCAAGATCTCCAATCTCCAGGAGNATAAAATTGGTGTACCAGATCTAAAATCTCCAGGAGTTTACTAGGAATACAATAATCAGAAAGTTAATTACTAAACCGAATCAACAAGAACAAAAAATAAATAAATTAATTTATAAAAAAAAAATTTTAAAGGCAACTAATCAATCAACCAAACAAATCCTACAAACAACCATTAAACAACCAACCTACAAAATAATTAAAGCGGTCTAAATAAAACCCATGCCCTGTTCCAACTAGAATTAAGAAGGAAGAAGAAAAAACCTGATCTCCGGGGATGTTAGAGAAGCTGTCCTTGCATTCCCGTCTGTTCCAGGTAAACCAATGTTTAGTATATTCTGCAGGGATGTTCTGAACATTATTCAATCAATCAATCAATCAATCAATCAATCAATCAAATCAATCACAAGCATAAAAATAAAAATAAATGCATAGTTAAACAATTCATATCGATTTCCTTTCAAAGAAGGCTAAATCTTTAGAAACTACAAATCTATTTGAATCATCAGTACAAGGGTAACTTGGTGACCAGATGACAGCACTATTCAAATATAATGGCTCCCTTTTAAGATCTCATCTATGTTCACAAATTTAACTATTTAGTGAGGAACTATTTCTACAGCAAATGTGTTGTTGAAGCCTGGAACAAAAAAAGTAAGATGTTAAAAGAATCTCTAAATGAGAAAACTTGACCAAAACAACGGAACTTCTCCAACATTCTACGTAAAGTTTAAAAATGATAAACCACGAAGAAACAAACGGTGACAGATAATTAACGTAAAACATAAAATGTTACCTGATCTGGGGAACTGTTGCTTCGTTATAACTAACAGTTCTATTCCGCTTACTCGGAGATTCCTTCTTCTCATCAACCTTTGATCATTATCATTTAAAGCAGTGCTTAGGATCCATTTAATTTTGATGCGGATCCGGATCAAGGTTATTTCCACAAAATTGACTGAATTTTTTTAACACTGTAAGATCTGAGGATCTTTATAAACTAATGTGTGTTCAGGGTGTTCAGCGACAAGACGTTACTCAGTGTGTTCAACCAGGAATTCTCTACAAACAATCGATCAATCACACGGAACCCTACATGCACAATTTTCTACATTTAATCACGTGTTCAACTCTATATAATTAATTGAGATTTTTAATGTAACTATTTAAAGGCCAATTTTTATAAAGAATAACCTGATTTTGTTTTATAATGCAGAACCTGAGTTTTATGGTTGAAAATGTTTTATAATTTAACCTATATATATAATATTTAGCCAAAACCTATATATTGTTTTTAAAAAGCCTAAGCCTGAAAACTTTGTAAATAATGAGTTTTATCTTTCAGAACACACTGGGTTAGTTGCCCCCTTCTAACCTGAAATTGTGTTTCTTTCTCCAGGTCTATAAATCATCCGTAATAAATACTTAAGGCTAACAAACGTTGAATGTTCTTTACACAACGTTGGAAAATTTTATTCCTACGGATGGTTTATAAAACATATGTAGATAATTGTGATTGTTGTGATTCCTCTAAATAGTTCCGGGCTCGTATCCGTGCTTTAAACCAGGTGAAAAAATTGCAAATGTCTAAAATGAGCTTAAATAATATCCTGACTTCTCACAAATCTCTCAACATAATTCTCATGCTAGGCTGGCACGAGTCCCGTTGATATACAACCTCGACTTGCTCCGCTGACTCGCGGAGAAGTTCTTAACTCCTGAGATGGTTCCGTTTTCTTCTAATCTGAGATGGTTCAGTTCTCTTCTACTCCCACCTACTAATCTTGACATCCTGAGTCTAAGGAAGTCTATATAAAGGTGAGGATCAAAGCTCACAACCTTTGAGCTCTGGAACTTGGTCTAATTAGTTCTATTTAGACCTCTGTTGTCAAGTCTCCGACATCACCGGAAGCTGAGTCATCCTTGTTCTCTGGATCCTCAGCTTATGCTCCAGAATATCCTGCTGGCACTCTAGAGACCCATATACCTCTACGTACCAGGTCTGCACAACTTTGGCTTAGTTGTATCCTCTTCTCCGGTTTCTCCGACGAGAAGAACTTTTGCTCCCTTCCGAAACCTCCACGGAAGGGCTCTGATTCTGTATCCCTGGTCTAGCTCCTCCTCTAGATCAAATACAGGTAATAAATCTAAAAATCACGATGCTTGTGATGAATGTGAGAAAGTCACCACTTAAAAAAGGATATTTGAAGTGACACATGAAAACTTCGATCGGACTAAATAAGCTCATTTTTAGTTATCCTGTTCGCGACTGCGGTGCAATTTAATGAACTATAGGCTACAAACCTCTGGACAAATCAACTTGTAAGTTTATTTTCTTATTATATAAATAATTTAATAGTTAACCTGGAGAAAGTTTTATTTTAAAAGGCTAAAATTTTATTATTGTCATGCATATAATTAACCCTGGACTGATTTATTGTGTTTTCAGTTCACGGTTGAGTCCTGTATAAACTGCCTACCTGAAATATATACATAAGATTTAATCAGTGCAAATAGAGGTGAGCCGAAGAGAAAGAGTTCATGTTCGCTCTTATGTTTGTAGTTATTACCTGGTCTCCTATAGGTAAAAATGAGCACAAACACAGCAAAATTTTCAAATTTTTTGTCCTATTTTTTTCGCTTATTTTAATGCTAAAACTTAATGAAACATTCAGAAATCAGGAAATTTTTATAATTTCAATAGTTCAGATTTGGGGGTTGAGAGTAAATTTTTTTGCAGTTTATTGTTGATATTTTGCCCCTTGGATCCGCATATTTTTGCAGATCCGGATCCAAGAAGCCAAAATCTTGCGGGCCCTAAGCACTGATTTAAAGGCACCTAAGCTTTCCATTCATGGGTAAGAATTTCTTGAAAAATATTTTCCCCACCTTCCATTGACCAATTTTCTCTTTTCAAAAATATACCCGTGTTTTAATAAAATAGGAATCTGCAGCGCTCCCTTCCAGTCCGTGGTTGGTATATTATTAAAATTTAATAATTGGTTAAATAATATTTAATGATTTGATACATTCAATCACAACCAGAGCAGAAATACCAAACTTACGTCCATATTCTCAATCCCTGAGTCAAAGTCCAAAGACACCTGGCTAGCTCCACTCTTGAGAGAACCAACCTGAACCATTCACATCGTATTAAAAAAAAAACTACCAATGATCTCTGAAAAGCATGACTTTGGCTCTTGAAAAAAATTAAAATTTTGCCTTCTCATATTTACTTTTCACTGTTTTAAGTGTTTCCTAATTGGCAGAAGGTTTTTTTTTTTTAATTGATTTTTGAAGTTTGGGAGGGGGGATGGCAACTTGAACAACAAAAGGCAAGTTTTTTTTATACCCAATGAAACCTTTAAAAAAATGAGGAAAATAATCTATAAGATTTGATTTCATAAAGACATTCATTAATACCAAAAATGTAAATGTGTTCAGTCAGAAAAATAAATTTAGATCTAATTACAGGAAACTCAACTAACCTCCATAGCTTCAGGACTTTCCTTATCTCTGGGAGAAGAGTTTGGAACCTCTAGGGTGGGGCTTGTTATCCCCGCCCCAGAAGAAGGGGGCGTGTACCCTTGCGCCCCGCCTACTGCTCCCCCTGCTAAGGGACTGCTTATGCTACCTCCAGCTGTTGGACTTAACGCTAGACTTGAATCCTAAACATTGATTAAGCAAGTCAATTATTCCGTCATTCCGTAATTCCGGCATTTTCGCCATTCTGGTATTCTGCCATTCAATCTTTCAATTAATCAAAAAATCATCCATCATTAAATCACTCACTAAATCAATTAATCATACTTAACAATAAGGCAATTAATCATTCAATCATTTAACCATTCAATCATTCAATCATCCTTTCATTTACTTAATCAATCATTCAATCATTCAATCATTCAATCATTCAATCATTCAATTATTCAATCGATCAATCATTCAATCATTCAATCATTAAACCATTCAATCATTCATCCACGCACCTAAGTACTCATTCAATCATTCACTGACTTGCGCATTTACCTGTGATAAACTGTTTTTGGTTGTAGATCCAGGTTGGCTTAATCTTGCCAGACGTTTCCGTCTCATCTCATCCTGATCGGGATCTGACATTTTATCTGAAATATATGCTAATTAAAGTTATCCCTGAATGACAACGTGAGAAGTAAACTCCTCATCCGAGTTTATACTTTCCAACTCCATTTCTATATCCCCTGCCTCAAGCTGCTCAGTGTCATCCATTATATGGACATTTTCATCAATAAGTTCAGTATCATTCCCTGGTTGTTCATTCTCTTCCAACCTGTTACACTGATCGGTCTCATCCTCTATTTCCACATTTCGAATCATGATATGTTTATTCTTTACTGTTATATTTCCACTTTCATCCATAAGATGAACTCTTTCTCCCAAAAGCTCGCTGCTATCGTTCATAATTTCCCCACCTTCACTCATTGTAAGAACACGCTCGTCAAGAATTCTGACTACTATTGGCGGATTCACAAACTGTTTAGCTTGATTCTCAGTTTCCCCACTTTCTCCTTCTTCTGCTCCGTCTACTTGTTGTTCAAGTAGGATCATCTCTTCCTCCATAGATTGCTCCTTTCCCAGGTTTAACTGTACACAAAAATAGAACTTGATGAGAAAATGTTCTGAACAATAGCAAGAAAATATAAAACAAATAAAACGGCGAAATCTTTATTATTTAAATTGGTTATTGTATATTGAATGCATTTCTACCGAGCTTCAAAAATAAACAAAATTGGGAAATCATTTTTAAAGATTTTAAAGGAATTGTTAATGTTATTTCACGTGTCTCTCAACTTAAAGAGACTTGCAGATTTATGCAGGATTTCAGTGTGAATCGAACATGCAATATATTCAAAACAATTCTTTCTAATAATATGTTTAATAATAAGTTAAATAATAAGTTAAATAATATGTTAAATAATATGTTAAATAATATGTTTAATAATATGTTCAATTATATGTTTAATAATATGTTTAATAATATGTTTAATAATATGTTTAATAATATGTTTAATAATATAATAATATGTTTAATAATATGTTTAATAATATGTTTAATAATATGTTTAATATGTTTAATAATATGTTTAACCTGAAATTGGTTTCTGAGCTGAGCTTGGTGAACGCTGTTTACATGTTTTAAGGCTCCGCCCTTGGTTTTAAACATCTTGGTGCAGAAGTTACAGGAGAACCTGCTGCTAGCTGGGATCCAACTGAAACCTACCAGGGGCTGGTGGTAATCAAAGTTATGCTTCTCCAGCTCCTCCAGCAGCTCGTAGCTCAAGCTACATGGTTCACAGATGAAGAGGGAGCCGGGGGAGTGGTCGAGCGCCAAGTGGTTTTCCAGCTGGGTGAGTAGGACGGATTTACCACAAATATTACAAGCTATCTCTTCATTTTCATTCTCATTGTGCTCGCGACGCAGATGATCAACATAGTCTTTAAAGTTGACGAATATCTTCTTACAACGCTGACAGATGTCATAAAAATACCTGAATAATAAAAAGGTTAATATCCCATCAAATACTTAGTTCTATTTATCTACAGTGAAATTCCAGAAATATGAATACATAGCCAGAGTTTTTTATAATGTCGTATTACATATTTAAGATCAAATATCGCAGGAAAATGAGTTTATTATTAATATGTCAATTGCATTCATATTTCAGGGCTATTAATTTACCTTGAATTAAAAAGAAGTTTCTGTAGATTTATCAAAAAATTTATGACGGTCTATGTATTCATATATCTGGGATTCACTGTAGTATAACATGTTTTTCATTACCTGTCTTAATGGAAAAAACAATACTAAATTAATGAATTTTGTTTATAAAAAACAAAAAAGAGAGCTCGTTTTAGCCGAAGATGATATTTTAGATGCACAATATTGAGACAATCTTAACCCTATTTACCCTGTGGGGGGGGGGGTCGATTGACCCCCCCTCTATCGTTTTTTTTTGCGATAGCTCAATAAGTATTTGAGCTAGGAAGCTTAAACTTTCTGACTTTTCTAACTAACACATGCAAATCACTTAAGGCTAAAAGCTGGGCTTTTATACCTGAAGTATGCCTGAGTTCTAAGGCAAACTTCCCAAATGCCTTATTTTAGCTTTACCAGACTAAATCTATATTTAGACCTACTTCCAGTCATTGAATTTCAACATTTGATAGCTCTTTGGAAAGCCTAAAACAAAAGTAGCCAGAGCTGACAACTTTAGAATGAGATATCCTAAATCCCGATAACTTAATCTGAGTATCCACTGGACACACTTTTGATTTTCTTCTGAAACCACTCTTTCTTGGACATAGTGCAGAAAAATCAAAAACCGGTTTTTAAATTAGAGAGTCCCTCACGTTTCTGCATTTATCTTAAATGACGGACAAAATTTCAAATTTATCGGCTTCTTATACGCGACTCTGATTGGTTGAATTTTTACACTTTTCAGGATACAAGTACAAGATTAGGTTAGTCTCGATATTAGGAAAAAGAGTGGATCAAGAATTAATCTCGATATTCACGATTCTAAAGTTTTCAGTTCAGATTAAACAATTTTTGCAAAGAAATTTTTCACAGATTTATGCAGACGCCTTTGAAGGGAATTTCAGTTTTTCTTGAATACACATTTAAGGTTTTAAAAAATTGGCAGTTGTTTTTGCAAATTTAAATTCACTGGATCAAGGGCTTTTACAAAACGTATAATTTTTTGCTTAATAACTAGACTTCGCGATAAATATTTGGATTTTTGCAAATTTGTCATTTTTTGGCAGATTATTGAAGTAGAGCCCAAGGGCGTTCCAAAAACTTATCAAATGTTACAGATTTGTATCACAATAAGAAAATAGAGGGGATAATTTGCCCCCCCCCCCCCCGGGGAACCAATCATGAAACCAAACGTCAGGGTAAATAGGGTTAAAAAAATTGTTATAACTTATATAATAACTAGCTTGGGAACCCGATACTGCCCAGGTTACTCTTAATTAACTCTTGGTTTTTGCTGTAAGAGTTGACCCACTTTTAAAATCTCATAACATTTCCGTGGTTCTAACGAGTTCCCCAATCAAAATCGGTTCCTGAGTTATGATCGGACAAACAAACAGACAGACAATCAGAGATTAACCTATTCTTGAGAACAATCTAATTGCTTCTACTTCTACCTATTAAGATCGTCTTGTTGAGCATTAAATATCTCGACTTGGGTTTCCTCAACAGCTTCACCTGGCACCTCATTTCCTTCTCTCATCAGATTCTTTCTATATAAAGAGAAACAAATAACATCTATTTCACTTAAATATTGTTAAATATATCATAAAAATTTAGTGTAAATTAAAAGTCCAAAGGTACACCATATATTACATTAAAAATATCTTTTTAGGGTTTAATTCGCTGAATTGAGTAGCATAACAGATCTAGGATATCAGAAAAGGTGATCGAAAACAAGGAAAATGGAATTCAATAGAAAAGGATCGACCCGGTCCGCCTCACTATATGATTTTACATGCCCAGAAGAAGGAAATCTAGAAAATATATATCATCTCAAAAATAATCTTGACGGGTTTAGTACTTCGGGGCCAGTGAAGTTATAAAAGAGATGTTTTGAATCACATTCGAAATATGAATATGAAAACACTAACTAGTGAAAAATACCAATAGAATTAAAACTTTAGACCGTAGAACTTCTGAGACTCTGATTAGTTTACCTGCAAGTTTGCTCATGCTGCATCTTTTCTGAAATTGAAGAAACCTTCTGAGCGCAAAATGTGCAGCTGTAGCTTGGCCGGTGCTCTGCAGCGCGCTTATTCCGGCAATACTTCTCATGCATCCTAAACATTGTTAATGTAAAATCTATATCTAAGCCCTGTTCAGGAAGGAACCAGAAATGAAGGTTACAGTGATGACCTAACATTGAAACTAATGAGTGAACTGGATCCACATATAATCATTAATTTAACCAGCTGAAGAAGATACCTTTTTTAACCCTGTTTGATAAAAAGCATATTTAACCCTTTTTACTATATAACTTACAATTTTATCTAAAAATTTTAAGAAAGAAAGATTTTGAATTATTACATATAAAGTAACGCACGTTGCAATACCATAAAACTTAAATTGTAAACAATAAACATGTATCGTGCAAATGTCATGTCCGGCATTTGGCGTGGCGACCTAATTGGAAATTAGGTGAGAAATGCACAGTGAGTTCCGTAAAAATTTTAAATATTTAAATGTGTGCCTTAATGTTTGTCAGAGGTATATTTTCTACACCAATACCCCCCCCCCCCCCTTCCAAAGTGTGTTTTATTTAAGTAGAAAATTTTGAGAAAAACAAATAATTTTTTGCTTACTTGTGCACCATCAAAGATGGTTGCATATCCCCGCAATGGGAACAGGAGTAGCTGGTAACTATCTCATCAGGATGGCTTCCGTTGAGATGTTCCTCTTTCAATTCTAAAATCAATTATAAATCAAAAATCAATTATTTAATTATTGAATAAATGCTTCATCAATCAATCAATCAACTAACTTGCAATAACGCTTTGTATTGGCATTGGAAGAAAATAGTTTTTAGTAGAAAGTATCAGTATTAGTAGGAAACCCAGCTTTGCCAGGAAGTTTTCCCTAATAAAAGTCAACCTTCTCAGTTTAAAACTTTAAAACCAAGCTTAGTGAAAGCAACAAAATATTGAGTAGTGAAAGCAAAGACGATGGTAGATTGAAACCAAAACAAGGTAATGTTACATCGTCTATACTCAACATCCCCCCTACTGAACTTCTGACCTACTAACTTTCCGACCTACGGCAATATCGGACCTACGCCAGCTGTTTATTCTAGTATTATTTGAGGGTTAGGTTAGGTTAAGACTATTTCTGGGCCGAGCGCTGCGGCTAGGACAGGCTAGGGGGCAGAGCGCCGCGGCTAGGACATGCTAGGGGGCCGGGCGCTGCGGCCACAAGTCTATATAGCAGCTGTAATACCACGTGCTAGTAGGTCGGATGTGTAGTATAGCGGATTTGGCGTAGGTCAGAAATGGAGTATGGCGGATATGTTTAGGTCGAAAAATACACCACCCCAAAACAAACCTAACCATAAAATTGGTGTACCGGCCTCCGCGCTCGAGAATAGAGAACACAAGCGAATTGTGCAAACTTTTTAGAAATTCAGGGGAAAATAGTATTCTTAAAGGACATGTTAACTTTCCTATGATGAATTGGGATGAATTTACATAGGACAAGAATTGTTAAAATTTTCTACAGAATTTCCCACAATTAGTGACTTTTCCGACATATGTACGTGGGAATGTATTGGAATTAATAATTACAAATCGCCCAGAGAACATTATAAATGGTAGAATCTCTTGGTAACCTGTCGAACAGCGACCAGTCAATTTTATCTATCGAAGTAATATTTAAATCAATGAACTTATTGAAGATTGGAAAAATCGAGATATTGATGGTCTAAAAGATGTTTTGAAAATGGTATGAGGCTATGGATGGTAGGGATGCCTAGGAATGCTGGGACAGAAGAATATTTCTTAACCTATACAAGCAATATGTAAGATGCCATCTAGAATTTGCAACCCAGAATATTGAAGTTTTTGAGAAGGTCCACGGCGAGCAGTAAATATGATTGTAGGATTAACCAGTAGGACCAAAAAATCAATCAATCAACTGACCAATCAAAAAATTAATTAAATAAGCATAACTAATATTAATTACCCATAGAGTTGAACTCCTTATCACAGATATAGCAAGTGAACTTGGTGTGGTTGTGTTCTGGATCATGTTCTACCATGTGCTCGTCGAATTCACTAACATTCCAGAACTTAGATCCACAATTCTAAAGAACACAAAAAAGTAATATTCTATATCAATCAGGGGAATGTTCACATTATTTCAAGTGATACACAATTCTTTAGAACACAAATAAATACGAATGAATTTGTACCTATAAGGGGACTGGTCAAGTTATTTTAAGTGATCCACAATTCTACAGAACACAAATTTAAAAAATAAAATCAATATCTATATCTATATATAAAGGGACTGTGTAAGATCTATGAATCTTTCAATTCTTGATGTTCAGGTTGAATCCATAAACTCTGATGTGAAGAATCACATGAAGATCAGCTTGAATATCCCTGTCTCTATTCCGTGCTATAATTTCTCTCTCTACATATATATAATTGCATTCTAAATATAAACTTAGAATTTTATTGAGATCTAACTAAAGTTTCATAGAAAAATTGTACAAATTCTATTTTAGAAAACTTTGAAAGTTTTAAATCCTTAAGCCTAAACAGCTTTTTTATATCTGTTTAAATAAGAAATGCCAGGAAATGATTCAAATATTAAAACTAAATGGTTTACATATTTCAGACAATAATGGGCAAGGATAACTGCTTTATCCAGTCTTGTCACTCCAGGTTGTACATTACTAGGTTTATAAAACATCTTATTTAAATGTAAACAATCTTTAAATCATTTCTAGATTTATATTCTTTAAACTCATGCATAAAGCGAATTCAGAACTTTTCTTGTGTTTCACCACCTGACCAGAACAATGAACTAACTATTTAACAGGTGAAAATACATTCTTAAATGACTTAGAACTTTAAAGATCATTCAAATTTAATTATAACTCCTGATTTATCTCTTAGAATAAGTCAAATCTGATCCTTGACATGGGTAATCTCAACGCTGTAACTGTTCGAGAATCCAACAGAGCAGATCAACACACAAGCTGCGGTTTACCTGACTGCTTGATATGCATGTTGAGCTGAACTGACCTACCAGAAGAGCATCTCCCTGCTGGGTATCCTCCTCACCTTCGCCTCCTCCTACTTGGAGAAATCCCGTTGGAAACATCTCTGTTTCTATAATCCGAAACTGCTGTTACTGAGCAGATAAAGGTGAAGATTAAATGTGAAACTATTCTCAAATTGAGGCCTAGTTTATGACTTAATCTTAATTGAAACCCCTGTTACCACACTTGAGTACACATGGACAGGCCCTTCTTTCCTCCATGATGATTATTGATTGAAGTGCCAACTGAACCCAAGCTTCTGACAGGATTCACAAGGTATACAAGAGACAACTGGTTAAGATCACACACCTCTTGAGCTATTGAGTTCTGGGGCCTAATCATCTTTGTAAGTTTAATTTAATTCATAATATGTTGTTAAATATGTGCACACTTAGCACACCTGGAGCAAATATTCCTGTAAACTTGGCTAATTTTATACTCTGAGCTTATTAAAAATCGTATAGCTAATTTTAATTCTAACCGTGAATGATTGTTTTTCAGTTCATGGGTCTGAGCTCTGTATCAATATATCAGAAATAAATATCATAAGAGACTCTGTGTATTAAAGAGGTACTCAATAGATGACAGGATCTACCAAAAAAAAAATAACAATTTAACAATATAATTGATAAATAAACCTGGAAAGGACAGACGAACTGAATCAAGGCAATATTATGTGTGGATTCATGTTTCTTGAGAAGGTTCTCACGTGGGAACATTTTCTCACAGTAGGAGCATTTCAGCACACTCTCACCAGTGTGTTTTAGCAAGTGAGACAGCAGATCACTCTAAGAAAAGTAATGTTCAGAATAGGTTTATGTTTCTTCAGTTAGACCAGCATTTTCTCAGGGGGAGGGAGGGAGGGGGGGGGGG